GGTAATGAAACTAGTTAATAGTAAGCATTAGACCCTAATCTAAAGTGTTACTTTTTAGCTTTTTAATTTTTTTATAAATCATACCCTCATTGGGGGCTTAGCCCCCCTAAATGAAAATCCTAAATGAAAATGTTTTTTTTTTAGGGGGGGCGGGGGGGCATCATAAAGGAATTATGCTTAGGGCACCAAAATGGCTAGCAGCGGCACTGTGAACAAGTAACAATAATATTCGCAATAGCATATAGTTTTTACTGAATAATTAAGTAAACCTAATTTCTTAATTTATCTTTGTAAAGAAACCTCATTGCTACTCTCTGCTGTCTCCAGACGACGACATCTTTTCCTGTCGGCCACCGTTTTGTTTTGTTGGTTGCAATTCGCAACCTCACCACTAGATGCCGCTAAAAACCACACACTGCACCTTTAACTATTAATTAATAATAATAGAAGCAATAATATTGCGTCTCTGTTTTTCATTTTTTTTCAGTATCCCAAAACTTACTGTCTAAATAATATTTTGAATCCCAAATTTCCAAATTGTAAGGGAACGTCAACATTTTAGGGGATGCAACTTCTAGTCACCTTAAATCACCATTTTTAATCACATTTTTGCAGCTAGTGGGATGGGAAATAAAATCTGCAACAACAGAGCAATTTTGGCTGGGGTGTGATAGCATGTGTGATCCATATGGATATGTAATCTTCTCTAAAATTAGACAGTCTTTAATTAAATAACCATATCAAGATGAGACAAAGGAACTAGCCCAAAATAGTTTTCTTTCCCTATAAAAGGATATGCTTTAAAACAGGAGAAAGGAGATTTGCCTTTGAATATAAGTTCAATTTAAGTCAAAATGTTACTGTGTACCAAATTTACAAATTTAGATTTACCACATGAGCAAAATGTGACTTATCCCGTCCCGTTGCTCAAACAGCACAGCAATGCTAGAGGTTTTTAAACTGTCACGATTCACTCTGGAATACTTGATTCTAATTGGTCAATAGCGCCATCCAGCGGTCAGATATTTCCTTAAATTCGCTGCTACACGGTATACCGCTCGTACGGGTAGCTGAAATAACACAAAAGGGTGACTCAAAAAAGTACTCAGAGGACTTCAGTGTTACATTACTGTAATATTTTTAGCGCTTTTTTACACTAGAAACGGCGTTCACACAGAACCCTTCATTTTATTGGGTTTTTTTATGTAAACATGCGGACGCTCTCGCCTCATGTATGAAAACGGCATTCTAAAAATGCGTCAAGCTCAAGTTTTTTTTCATCCCACTGCCCTACGTCTTGAATTTTTATGGTCGTTCACAAAGATATTGCACACAGTGGAAAGGGAATCCACATGTACCAGATGTGGCCCGGATCTGGGCCGACACTATGTTGCATGTCTGGGATGGATCAATGATTTTGATGACATCATGCTGTTCACACATTTACTATTTTCTACATGGTGAATGGCACATAACGCTCTAAATAGGGGATAGGGAACAATTCAGACTGTAAATATGCTTTCCATTGGGGCGAATGAAGTCTGGTTTCACATTATTAGCCCCTTTCACACATACAGTAGCCTACTGGTAAATTACCTGTAAATTACTAGTAAAAGATCATGTGTGAACAGGACCTTTTCAAATATACCGGTAAATTGGTTCCGGCAATTTACCAGTAAGGGATTTTTTAACATTACCAGTAAATTACTGGTAAATGCGCTGTGTTAACGCGGAATGAAGATTACCGGTATTTTGCACGTACGAGGTCAGAGCGCGCTGACGTAAGAAGTGATTCGGGCCAATGAGAAGCCGTTGAAAGAGCAATGGCTCTGGCCTCTGGGCCATTCATAAAATCATGACGCAATGATGCGTTTACTCAGCACTGTTTACAAAATAATGTCTTCAAATTGGAGTGATACCGAAACAAAAGCGTTTCTCCTCGTCCGGGCGGATGAGTCAACAACTTTAGAGGTCACTGGTTAGGGTGACCAGACGTCCCGAAAAATTTGTGACAGTCCCGAAATCTAAGCTGTTGTCCCGAATCCCGAATCCGGTCCTAATTGTCCCGAAAATTATACTAAAGCAAAATCTTGAGTAGTTATTGTCTGATAAAACATAAAACTGTACAATACCGTATAGGCGCGAATTTAGATATGCATTGATAAGCTCATTTTAATTCATTCGTTTCGTTGACATGGCTGGTGTACCGGAACCCCAACACGCCGCTAAAAAGCAAAAGCGTATCTTCAGGTAACGGGAGGGGTGGTATAGACCACCCCCATCCGAAAACCGTCCCGAATTTTAGCCAATCTCATCTTGTCCCCGTGCTTCCGGTTAATGACATCATCACAGAGTTTACCGGTATTTTGGAACTGATGTGTGAATGATCTGTTGCCGGTAAAAAGCCAGAACGCTGTTGCTTGTGTGAACAGCACATTTTTGAATTTACCGGTAAAGTCGTTCTGGCAATTTTACGGTAATTTACCGTGATTGCTGTGTGAAACCGTTGCAGCAATAGCATAGAGCGGATCATGCACAAGTCGGGGCAGACTACAAAACATATTGGGCTCATTTGAATTCTACACAGAATGCTATATTTTATAGCGATATGGAGGAGATTAGGAGGAGAAACGTTTAGAAATTAGGATAAAACTGCAGCTTTATCCAGGTCAAGCTGTGCTAAAAGAAATGCTATGCTATTGGCTATTTAAAAAAGGGGAGGAGCTGTTCGATGTGTCCTGTCCTGTCTTTCTGTTTCTTCAGTGGGTCTTTAAAAGCTATACTTTTAATTTGAGCGTTTGCGAGAGACGGCGAGCGCAGCGGTTAAACACGTCCGCATTGTTTAAGGCCTATTTGTTGCTGTAGCTTGTAAAATTATAAACAAACTTAAAAACAAATCAATATTTCATATCAACGAATTTTGGTGAGCAGCCCGTGGAGTAAAGCCCTGGTCATTATCGCAAAATAAACCACTGAGGAATAATGACCAGCTGACCGTACATCAGGCCCGGATTGGCCATCTGGCAATTCTGGCACATGCCAGAAGGGCCGGTGTGATTTTCTATTGTTTTGGGCCGAGCTGACCACGTTGCTGCACCTTTATCGCAAAAAAGTTTTTACGCTCGCATGAGGAGGTTTTTCAGGCAATTCGAAAAAGGAATATTTCGCAAAACTGCAATGGAAACAGTTTTTGCGCATTTACAGTCACCTGAAGACGCGGTGTGTTTGGGGTCCGTGATATACGCAAATAATAGGCTAATAAATATCATCATTATTATAACAGTTATTAGGCTACATATTTAGAAGACGCTTTTATCCAAAAAAAGGAACAAAGCAATTCGTCAAATGTCATTCATAATGGTTAGACAATAATAATACAGGGCTAAGATTATCACAAATAAACACAAGATTTTGACGCATATCCAAGTGTTTGCTGAGCGCGCATGGCACGGAGGCGCGGCCGCGAACACTTGCTTTTTCCTATCAACAGTAGAAACAACTTAAAATAGGCCTACTCTATAATTTCTGGTCATACAGAAAATAATAATACATTATTCGCCACTATGATTTTATTTGTGTAAACTCACAATAACAAGAAAACGTTGTGCTTTTGTAAAATAAAATAAAACAATCATGCGCGCTTTCATGATCTCCGTGAACTGGAGCGCGAGAACTGAAACAAAGTAAAGCCTAGGCTAAAGCTTGAAGTGTCCACTTTAAAACGAACAAATTCGAATCGAAAGCTAATACATTCTGATGATGTAATCCTTATGAAAGGTGTATTTCTCTCTAAAGGTGCATTCGCGCGGCGCGCCTCAGCGGAGATGAAGATATGTTTTTAGCCGACACTGATTTAGAAAACAATAGTTTATTAATAAACAATTAAAATGCCTCGTTATTTTTTCAGACAGATTTATTATCATTAGCCTATAACTCACCTAAATCACCTTGTGGTTCCAGAGACATAAATATGGCTCTTCTCATTCAGCACTGCGGGAAAAATATAATTTCCAGGTTCTAATTTGCCCTTAGAAAACCATTAAAATCTACATTTTTTTCGTATTAAGTTGTGAATATTTTAAATGTTTAATAAAGGGGCAAAAAGTCAAAGAAACATCTGAAATTTAGTCGATATATTATTATTTTTGCACAGCATTTGTGTACAGTTCAAATTTAAAAAAAAATTGCTGGTTAACTTTGCATTTTAAATTAAAAAATCACCGTTCATTTTTCGTTTTGCAATACGGGTTAAAAAAGGAAAAACGAATGGACACAAATGTACACTGACCGTTTGGACAGAGTTCTTTATTAAATTCATAAAATAAACAATAATTAGGCTTCAGGAATACTGGATTCTAAACCTCAAAGAAATGCCACAATCAAGACCTCGGGGCAGAAATGAGAGAGAAACACCCAGAAACTCCTTAGCAGTATGCGTCTTTCCCTGCCATTAATGCTTGGATAACACACCACGTCTCATTCCATTAATAATAATAATAATGTCTAGTGTGGTGGTGGCTGATAGACCCGTTGCCATGATGTCTAAATGACTTATCGCGAGAGAAAAAAAAAGGACGTTGTATCGCATAACATCAGTTAATGGAAACGCCGTCATTTCGCAATAGTTTTTTATCGACATTTAGAAAAAATCGCAAAAGTTTTGCTCAAATCTGTAATGGAAATGCGCCTAAATTGCTGCCTTGTATGGTGTGTCTCAGTGGGAAAAATGTTCAGATTCTGGGGGCGTTTTTTAACGTCATCAATTAGTTGGGCCGGTGAAAACCACAAATGCCAGGGCCGAATTTTGGTCCCAGTCCGGCCCTGCCGTACATTATCCCTTACTTAAGACACGTACCAAAATCTGGGTTGCACCAAGATTTTCTTATGGATAAGCAACTTGTAGGCTACAGTCAAAAAAATATTTGAAAAATAAAAAGCTATGTAGGCTACAGCTCCCTTCACTCCTGCAGCTCGTTGTTTTTATTGTCCTGTGGCGATCAGATCTCCTCTCCTCCTGTGCGTGGAAACAGGAGGAAAGTCAGTCACTGGAATCTCTCCTCCCACTCCACATCATATTCCTTCATTCTCTGTTCACTTTCCTTCTCCCAGAGGTCTCCTGCTTTCACCAGAAACTCCCCTCAGGACTGACTTTAACTAGTTCTTCGGCTTCAATGCCGCAGAGCGTTTATTTAACGTTACCCTTTTAATTTTGCGTTGCAGAAACATGCCAAGTCGGGTCAGCGTCGCGATTTTGCGGTTTAATTGTGTTTTTTTTCTGGCTGCGAGCCACGTCAAGAGCTCTGAACCGGACTACCTCTTTCCAGACACAGAACAAGGTTTGTGTTTTCATGCATAAGAATTATACAGTTGTGTTCAAGCATATTTTACTTCAGCTTTTAGGCTGTTTTATTTAAAGAAGCAGCTGGTAAGTCCTAATGATATGTCAAGTGTTTCACTGAGGCGAGTGGTCACTGGTCAGCTGCTGCAAAGTCCATATTTCTGTTTATGGAGTCCTGAACTTTACATAATCTCATTCTATAAAAGCACATTTAGGCCTAACCCTTTTATGTATGAATGATTCAGTTACAAAGGATTTTATTTTACTTCAATAACATTCTCAATCTTGTATAGCTATGTATTTGGAGAAACTTGCACATCTGTTCACTGCAGTAAAAGGTAGCTACTTGGTAGGCCTTCATCAACTCTTTCATCAGTCATTTTGACTGTTTTATGATGTCTGACATGAAGAGGACAGTGATATAGAATTATAGGTAAGGATCTAAGGTAATCATTAATTGTGGTTTGGATGACGTCACTCTCTGAATGGTTAAAATGGTTTGAATGAATCAATGCCTATAGGTTTATATTTCACCCTATCAGAAGAACATTTTATACTGTATATACCAAAGTATTTTGATATTAAAGGAATTTAGGAGAATTAAAATGCACACATTGTCTATCTATTTTCTATGTCATTTGTTTTTAGTTTTTTTTTTAAGAATGTCACTATATATATACACTGGTGAGAGACTGTAAAGAAATGCACTGGTGATACTACAATATGGACTGGTGAGAAATATCTGACTATATATATATATGTGTGTGTGTGTGTGTGTATTGATACAATATATATATATATATATATATGTATAACGAATGAAATAATATTATAATTGAATAAAAATATTTAATAAAATGTCGAAAAGATGCAAAAAGATTTAATGGTCCTAAAGGTCCTAGTCTTTTTGCTAAATGTAAATTATTTGTTTATTCATTCTCTCTTTTTTTCCATTTAATTTTATGGTGAAATATGACTGAAATAAGCTATATTTTTTGGTGCTTTTTTGTGAGATGTGCCCTTATTCTCTGGTAGCTCCAGAAATGATTATCTGCTGTAATATGTACTTGAACTGAAAAATTGAAAGTATTTAATTGAACTGTCTTGTTTTCATTCATTCGTAGATCTCTTCATCAAGCAACACTCTGAATTTTATGTGGATCACCCAGAAAAAGTGGACGCGAATGGAAAATTCATCTCATACGCTTTATCACATCACTTCACTAACATGCGACATAAGAGGGACCTAAATTCAGCGGAGAAGCGGGTGTATTACAAACTCAACTACAAAGGTCGGGAGTACACTCTCAATCTAACCACCAATGACAACCTCTTCGCTAATGAATATGTGTTGGAGAGACACAATGGGAGTTTAATGGAAAAGTGGCCACAAACATCTGGGAACGGTGCCTGTCACCTTCTTGGCACAGTAACGGTTGATAACATGCCAAGTGTTATCCGGACCGCCGCTATCAGCACCTGTGAGGGACTGGTGAGAAATATCTGACTTAATCTGTCAATTGTTTAATGTATATCATGCAGTTCATTTCTGGGGTCTGTTGCATACACTGCTTAGACTAGTCTTAAAAGTGCAAATGGCCCCTGGTGTAAATTCACATGTGTGAAGTAGTGCTGATATTGTCATCAGCTGTTAAAGTCAACATAAAATTTCAATTGACCTTATTACTTTCTTAACGGATATTCCTGATCTAATTCTGAACAATTAATCACTGCACATTTTAAAGAAAGCCATTTTTTCTCTGAACAACTCAAGTGAAGTCTAATTTATTTACGGTATGTAGCGCTTTATACGATACAGATTGTGTCAAAGCAGCTTTACAGTGATAAACAGGAAAGTAATGATTCAGTGATGCCAACAGAATTAAACTCTACAGTAAATCGGCTCTAAAAGACACTAGTAAACAGTCATTATTCAGTTGAAATCAGTTCAGTGTTGATTCAGTGTAAAGTCAATTATGGAATGAGTTCAATTCATCTATAAAGCAGTTTTGGAGAAAGCAATGATGTCATTGTCCAGCTCAGTTCAGTTCTCATCCAATTGTGTCAGTGCAGTCATATCAATAATATTTCTGAATATTAAGTGTCCCCAACTAAGCAAGCCAAAGGCGACAATGGCAAGGATCTTAAACTCTCCCTTAAGCCTGACATTATCTGTCGTCCTATTCCCAAATTATCATAGTTTTACAAATTTTGAAAAATTATTTTACCGAGTTCTTGTCCAGCCTTACATTTTTATTTGGAATATTCTGTTATCTCTGAAATCTGCCACCTTATGGAAGTAGAATGGGTTGCTAATGCAGTTTCATGTATTTTAAATTAATCTGACTGTTTCTTTCAGAGTCCACTAGTAAACAATGTTATTTCAGTATTATTTAAGCCACTGGTTTCACAGATGACTAAGTCTAGTCCAGACTAAAATGCATGTCTGAGCTGTTTTAACTGAAAGCAACTTCCATTGACGTATCTTAAAATATGTCAGTGGCATTGTTTTGTCTCAAGATGCACAGCAGTAATGTTTTTTTTCTAAGGCACGTTTATAAAAGCTATTTAAATGTCCTACTGAACTAAGGGCCTAATCCTGGCTTAATCTAAGCCTTATCTGTGAAACCGGGCAATATACAATTATATCTTTATTTTAGTAATTCAGTAATAAAGTATTCATTAAAAAAAAACAAAAAAACTTCAACTTAAACATAAAATTTCAATATTTCTAATATATATTTTTTTAAGTTTAAGCGTTTCACCTTATTTTTATATTTATTTTAATTAACGAAAACGAGTTTTAGTCTTAGTTAACAATATCCAAACAGCTAGTGAAAAGCTCCCGTAAACCTGGCGGTCCCAGACTGTCTGGAGCGACATCGACTGGCCTGTTAGACTCTTAACTCTTTGGCCCCTGTTTTGTTTGCAAAAAGAAGTCAGTGTTTAGCCCTCAGAGTGACTCTACAAAGAAAAATCAGCGTGTGGGCCGACTGAGTGTTCAGCAGAGTAGATATCAAAGAGTTTATATTTTCCAATAATGACCGTCGGACTGTAGATCATCCCACTATTACCAAATAGATATACAAATGGACATGAACCATTGATCTGAGTTTAAATTATTTTAAATCTAAGAAGGCGATTGTGTCTGACAACCATATTTCACTGCAGAATGCCACGATTGACCAATCAGAATTAGCAGTTCCAGAGACCCGTGTAATAAGATCCAATAGTAGTCTGTTATTCGAAGTGGACGCTCATAAAAAGCAGGGAACTTGAGAAGAACTGTAACCAGGTCAGTGTGTCAGCACATAACATGACTCATTCTGACTTGGCAATTGAACAAGAAGTTGCAAACAGGGAAAAGAGGAGAGGCAGAGGGAATCGATTGTCGGTGAAAGCACAGGAAAGAGTTCTGGACTGTGCATGCATAATTTGCAGAAGTATGCATGCAGTACTTGCAGTAAATGCTGTCTCTGTCTGTCAGTCACTGCCTGAGCATGCATGCTCCTCCTAAGGTCAATCAACAGCGCTTCATTCCGTTCTCATGTTATCTTCCCCTAAAAACCTTCTCTCGCTCAGTCTCGGGTGCTATTACACTCGCATTCCATTCACTTTCATGCATTCACTCCTCAGAGACTCAGCAGAAAATAAATAACAGACATATAGACCTCTATAAAACTGCTGTACAAGTTATTGAGACGATGCCAGGTGCTTTTGCTTTTAAAGCAGACAAAGTCAGGATTACTTGTGACCAAACTAAAATATAATGAGGAGCAAATGATCAGTACAGAGCATTTATGCACTACAGCACAAAAAAACAATGTGCTAATGTTTTAAGCAATGCATTTAGTGGTGGAGAAGAGGCCAAAAACTACACGTTCAACATTGCAGGGCTTGTGGAAAGTTTTCTGTAGTTTTTGAAGGAATAGTTTACCCAAAAATAGAAATTCTGTCATCATTCTGTAATTTTTTTCTGTTTTTTGTAACTCTTTTTTTTTTTCTCCAAACAAGGATAAACTGACGCCTTTGGTTCAGCCAGAAGTTGACATTTTGAACCACTCAAACAATACAATAGTGTTCAAAAGTTTAATTTTAAAATGTAATTTATTCCTGTGATTCAAAGCTGAATTTTCAGCATCTTTACTCCAGTCTTCAGTGTCACATGATCCTTCAGAAATCATTCTAATATGCTGATTTGCTGCTCAAGAAACATTTCTGATTATTATCGATGTTGAAAACATGTTGTGCTGCTTAATATTTTTTGTGAAAACCAGAATTTTTTTTTCATTTATCATGAGCATAAAGTTCTAAAGAACGGCATTTATTTAAAATAGAAATATTTTGTAACATCAAAAATGTCTTTACTATTAATTTGTCCTTGCTGAAGAAAAAAAAAAGAAAAGATACTGATCCAAACTTTTGATCTTGAAAGTAGTACAGAGCCATAGTGTTTATACTTCTAGTCGTCTCACACATAAATATAGGAATGGACAAAGTATTTTAGTAATGTGGTGCATTTCTTTTGCATGATAAACTGAACTTTAAGACTGTTTACTGTTTGTTTTATGGTCCTTGCGAAAAACACATTAGCTCTGAACTCTCTTGACACCATTTATGTTCAACTTTTATTTAAAACCAGAGCAGTTACAGATCAACCAAACGACCCGTCACTGACCCGCTCTGCATTAGTCATTAGATCCATACATTCTTCCCGCCCTCCAGAGGATGTATGGCTGGTTTTGAAGGACAATACTATAGTTTATAGTCCTGTACATAGGCTGTATATATCCTGTTTGAAGTCCTACCCAAACCTGCAGGAACTCTGGAAGCCGGGCAACACACACATGGCTTCTGTATTTAGCAGTTCAGCTTTTGTTTTCACAATGCCCCCTGACACCAAAGCTCACATTTCTGCTGTGAGGAGCAGATGAGGAGAGAGAAAGAGGACTGGCCCACAAAAAAAGAGATGGAATGAAATGTCTTATGTGCTCGTGTAAAGTACTTTGGCAGTAAAATGAAATGGCGATTGTATTATATTTTGTATGTGTGTGCATATACTCTCTCTCTTTCTCTCTCTCTCTCTCTCTCTCTCTCTCTCTCTCTCTCTCTCTCTCTCTATATATATATATATATATATATATATATATATATATATATATATATATATTAGGGCTGTGAAACGATTAATCGCATCCAAAATAAAAGTTTGTGTTTACATAATATATGTGTGTACTGTATATAATTATTTTGTATATATAAATACACACACATGCATGTACAGTATATATTTAAGAAAAATGTGTTTATATTAAAAATATTTATATTTCTATATAATATAAACTATATATATATATATACAGTATATACATGCAAATATTTCTTAAATATATATACATGCATGTGTGTGTATTTATATATACAAAATATTTATACACAGTACACACACATATATTATGTAAACACAAACTTTTATTTTGGATGCAATTTAATCGTTTCACACCCCTAATATACACTCACCTAAAGGATTATTAGAAACACCATACTAATACTGTGTTTGACCCCCTTTCGCCTTCAGAACTGCTTCATTCTACGTGGCATTGATTCAACAAGGTGCTGAAAGCATTCTTTAGAAATGTTGGCCCATATTGATAGGAAAGCATCTTGCAGTTGATGGAGATTTGTGGGATGCACATCCAGGGCACGAAGCTCCCGTTCCACCACATCCCAAAGATGCTCTATTGGGTTGAGATCTGGTGACTGTGGGGGCCATTTTAGTACAGTGAACTCATTGTCATGTTCAAGAAACCAATTTGAAATGATTCGAGCTTTGTGACATGGTGCGTTATCCTGCTGGAAGTAGCCATCAGAGGATGGGTACATGGTGACCATAAAGGGATGGACATGGTCAGAAACAATGCTCAGGTAGGCCGTGGCATTTAAACGATGCCCAATTGGCACTAAGGGGCCTAAAGTGTGCCAAGAAAACATCCCCCACACCATTACACCACCACCACCAGCCTGCACAGTGGTAACAAGGCATGATGGATCCATGTTCTCATTCTGTTTACTCCAAATTCTGACTTTACCATCTGAATGTCTCAACAGAAATCGAGACTCATCAGACCAGGCAACATTTTTCCATTCTTCAACTGTCCAATTTTGGTGAGCTCTTGCAAATTGTAGCCTCTTTTTCCTATTTGTAGTGGAGATGAGTGGTACCCGGTGGGGTCTTCTGCTGTTGTAGCCCATCCGCCTCAAGGTTGTGCGTGTTGTGGCTTCACAAATGCTTTGCTGCATACCTCGGTTGTAACGAGTGGTTGTTTCAGTCAAAGTTGCTCTTCTATCAGCTTGAATCAGTCGGCCCATTCTCCTCTGACCTCTAGCATCAACAAGGCATTTTCGCCCACAGGACTGCCGCATACTGGATGTTTTTCCCTTTTCACACCATTCTTTGTAAACCCTAGAAATGGTTGTGCGTGAAAATCCCAGTAACTGAGCAGATTGTGAAATACTCAGACGTTGTCTGGCACCAACAACCATGCCACGCTCAAAATTGCTTAAATCACCTTTCTTTCCCATTCTGATATTCAGTTTGGAGTTCAGGAGATTGTCTTGACCAGGACCACACCCCTAAATGTGTTGAAGCAACTGCCATGTGATTGGTTGATTAGATAATTGCATTAATGAGAAATTGAACAGGTGTTCCTAATAATCCTTTAGGTGAGTGTATATATATATATAATTATTATATGTTATTAATTATTAATGTATTATATTCTGTGTACTGTTCAGTATCACAGTACTTTAAATATATTGGTACAGAATGATTTCCATATTCATATACCATAGATACTTCAAAGAATATCATCATATGATAATTTACTGAAGATTAGCATGAAGATTTAAATTAATGATTTGTTTTGGCTATAGGATCCAGAAAAAACGTATATTGCTCTGCCGTTTCACTTTCTAGATAAATAATGTTTTAACTGTGTCCCAGATATTAAGAGAGAAAAAAATTAGAATTATAGAAAATAGAACACAAATAAGACACTTGTTGACATATAGTAAGAGTATTTGGCAGCTCAGATTATTTGGTTTTGGAAGTATTCAATGAGAAATGTTTGAGTTCATATTGAGATGTCTGGTTTTTAATGCCAAACTTTGGTAACTTGGCAAATCTGAGCCGAGTTTGAGATCTCTTCTGAAACTCTAGAGGAGAAACGTGAGATTGGGTTCTTTTCTCAGGAGAAAAATCTGAGACGTAAACAAATCTATACTTTTATATTGTCTAAGAGAAGCAAGTGAGACACTAAACAGATCTCATTTGGGATTTTTCTTTCATTTGAGGAGATGTGTAAGAGTGCTTCTCACGCCATACCTGTACAACACCGTTGTGTGTGTTGCAGGGGTTAGTATTGTTTAGACTCTGTGGATGATCGACATGGCTGAGTCAATATTATGACTGTGTCTCCAGCCCCCTGGAGAATTCATGGTCTTTTCACAAATCCCAGTATCTGTTTTGCATTACATGCAGCCCAGTTTCGAAACATTTGGAATGTTTTTCTGGTCACAGTTTATTTAGTTTGTAATGAACACACACACACACACATGCATACACACCTGTTTTTGGCCCGTGGGACTGATTCATTCAGCTGGGCGGTGAAGCTGGGACTTCACTGCAGCTCCAAGAATGAATGGCGATAAGAGAAAAATTGCACGTTTCAGAGATGTGTTGTTTGCCCAATTAAATCTCGCAGGTTGAAGCGTTAAGAGTCCAAGACATACAGACAATCACACTTTAAGAACAATCTAAAAAGTTAACATGCAACCTGATCTGACCCTTAAAATGTGAGTTTAACAGTTGGGGTTAAAGTTTGTGAAAAACTCTAATAGCAATGGTGCTTAGGATTGAGTTAAATTGATAAAAGTAAAGACAGTAAAGACTTTTATAACATACACGAATTCAATAAAATTTCAAATAAATGCTGAAAATTTCAAAGCATCCTGACATTTTTTTTATCACAGTTTCCACCAAAAGATTAAGCAGCACAGCTGTTTTCTACATTGATAATAATAATAAAAATTATTGAGCAGCAAATCAGCATATTAGAATGATTTCTGAAGAATCATGTGACACTGAAGACTGGAGTTATGATGCTGAAAATTCTGATTTATATCACAATCACAGGAATAAATTACATTTTTAAATATATTCAACTAGAAAACAGTAATTATAATTTGCTATATTTCACAATAGTACAGTTTTGACTATTTTTGTTCAATTAACTGCAGCCTTGGTGAGCATTAAAACATTAAAAATCTTTTTGAAAGGTATTGTATATATATATATATATCTTAAAGGTGCAAATAGGATTGAACTCAATTTAACACTTGCATGTCAAACTGCACGGATGTGTGGCATTTAACGGTTATAATGCGTTCGTGCTGTGTTTTAGCATGTGCACGTGACACGTTCTAATAATCCTACTAAAGCCCCCGCAGTGTGGAGAAAATGTCAGGACTGGCAAGAACTTGCAGGGAAAATTAACAAACAGCGGGAGTGTGACAGGTAAAATACATTCCCTGCATTCTGCAGAGTTCCAACAGATCTAATGAGACCTGACACCTGAAGTGTCATTACAGTACAAACTACTTTAAACCATTTGAACAAACCCTTCCCTAATCCCAAAATGTTAACAGTTAATGCGTAACACAACCCACACTGTTTGGGCTACAGACATGAATGACACCTCATTGAGTGGCTTGTTGTGGAGAGTTAAATTACCATAGATTTACATTGACAAAGTGTGAACCCATGGGACCCCTAAATCATACAGTAGATACAGGATAGGCTCTTTTGCTTTTGAGCAATGAACACAGACCCTAATTCATAAAGACAATCATAAACTGTTACAGATACAATGTTACTCCTACATCATGGTGGCGAGTTTTGAACTTTAGAGGCTCAAAACACAAGACCGTTGAAATATTTGGTAATATTTTTAAATATTTTTGAAAGACGCCTCTTAAAGCCCGTTCACACCAAGAACGATAAGTATAAAGATAACAATTACTATATTAGCGTCCACACCAGCGGACGATATCGTTCTGTTTATTCTAAGCTTGCTGCAGTTTTGTCATCAGACACTTTAAATGATCAAGGATTCTGATTGGCTGTCAATGTTTTGATTCCAACAAGATAATTTCTCTGTGCCGTTGTCATTATAGTTGTGATGTGGATTCTTCTATTCTTTTTTATTCATTAGAACTATATCTTTATCGTTATCATTATAGCCCTTGGTGTGAACTGGCCTTTATGCTCATGAAGGCTGCATTTATTTGACCAAAAATACAGTAATATTGTGAAATATATGTTACAAATTAAACTTTTTTTTTTTTTTTTTTTATATTATATCAAATATATAATATATCAAATGTAATTTACACCTGTGATGCAAAGCTGACTTTTCCGCATCAGTCACACGACCCTTTAGAAATCATTCTAATATGTGATTAAAACATTTCTAATTATTATCGATGTTGAAAACCGTTGTACTGCTTAATTTTCTGAAAGTCGAAATGTGAAATGCAAATATTTTGCAACATGATAAATGTCTTTTCTGCCACTTTTGATTAATTTAATGCATCCATGGTGAATAAAAGTATTCATTAAGGGTTTTTTTTAAAGGACTTCCCCCAAAAATGTAAACGGTAGGCTAGTATAAATGACATCTGTTATGATTTATGACTAAGTGTGTTGTTGTTTTTTTACTTATAGAGAGGGCTGTTAAATTTACCGGAGGGGCCGTTATTGATCGAGCCGGTCCTTGGCCTCACCCCAAATGTCACTCATCCTCGACGCCCACATGTGATCTACCGGAGTTTAACCTGGAGCGCTCTCAGGCGGCGACGCAGCACTGACGCACACAGTGTTCACTATAGTCCCTGCGGTGTCAAAGGTCAGAGAAACAAGACATATATTTGATTATGTTAGATGCATAATTTCTATATGGTGTTTCACCAAATAATACTTTGGGAAACTACTGCCCGGTTTCACAGACACGGCTGAAGTCTAGTCCCAGACTAAAATGCATGTCTGAGCTGTTTTAACTCAAAGCAACTTGCACTGACGTATCTTAAAATATGTCTCTGGAATTGTTTTGTCTCAAGATGCACACCAGTAATGTTTTTTTTTTCTAAGGCACGTTTATAAAAGCTACTTAAGTGTCCTAATTAAACTAATCCTGGCTTAATCTAAGCCTTGTCTGTGAAACCAGGCCTACATTTTTTAATCATTGTAAACTGTGTTGCATGAGCAGAATTTGTCTGTGTTTGTGCAGATGGCTCCAAGTATTCCCAACAGGTGGAGCAGGAGAGAGAGCGCTGGGAGCAGGAACAGCAGGGTGGGGATCGCAGTGACGAATGGAGTCGACCTCGGAGGATCTCCCCTCGCTCCATCAGCAAAGAGCGCTGGGTGGAGACCATGGTGGTGGGCGACTCCAAACTCGTGGAGTACCACGGAAGTGGAAACGTTGAGTCCTACATCTTTACCATCATGAACATGGTAAGTGATTCAGTTTTAAAGGGTTAGTTCACCCAAAAATGAAAATTCTGTCATTACTACCTCACCCTCATGTCGTTCCAAGCCCGTAAGACCTCCATTCATCTTCGGAACACAGTTTAAGATATTTTAGATTTAGTCCGAGAGTTTTCTGTCCCTCCTTTGAAAATGTATGTACGGTATACTGTCCTTGTCCAGAAAGGAAATAAAGACTTCATCAAAGTAGTCCATGTGACATCAGTGGGTTAGTTAGAATGTTTTGAAGCATCGAAAATACATTTTGGTCCAAAAATAACAAAAACTACGACTTTATTCAGCATTGTATTGTCTTCCGGTTCTGTTGTGGATCCGCGTTCAGTGACGCTGCTGACGTAAGACGCTGCTGACTAAATCTAAAATATCTTAAACTGTGTTCCCTTCGATTGCACCTCTTACTTTCCTATGTAAATATTTTGCATTACTTTCTTGCAGGTGGCTGGAATTTTTCACGATGCCAGCATCGGTAACGCAGTCCATATCATATTGGTCCGGCTCATTCTGCTACAGAGAGAGGAAGTACATATACATTTGTTTAGATATTTATAGATTTATTTTGCCAAACTGATTAGTGCTGGTCAGATAAGGCTGGTTATACATAGACATCAATGAATAACATAGGGTTTTTTTCAGCAGGGTTACTGGACACCATAGAAATAAAATTAGTTTGGACTTTTGTGTGGTTTCAGAAAGGGCTGAAGATCGCTCACCACGCTGATACGACTCTCAACAGCTTCTGTACATGGCAGAAAAACCTCAATCCTCAAAGTGACACTCATCCTGCACACCATGATGTTGCTATACTCATCACACGGTAAACACACTGCTAATGTCTTTTATATTTATAGATATTTTTATTTATTTATTATCTTTTATATCTTTTATATTTTTCATACCCTATATATTTAATATCTTTTTTATCTAGGTTTTTATTGCAGTGATTTCAACATTTCTTTACAGGTGGATGGTACCTTGAAATCTTCAGACAGTAAAGTATAATAAAGACAATAGTATAAAAAATTGTATAATAATGACAATAAAGACATCAGTTGTGGTAAAAATGATTATATTATATTATATTTAGGGCTGTCAAATGATTAATCGTGATTAATCACATCCAAAATAAAAGGTTTTTTTTACATAATATATGTGGGTGCATTGTGTATAATTATTTTATATATATAAATACACACACATGCTTGTATATATTTAAGAAATATTTTCATGTATATACTGTATATAGATTTATATATAATTTATATTATATATAAATATAAATATTTTATATATAAATTATATTTTTTCTTAAATATACACTCACCGGTCACTTTATTAGGTACACCTGTCCAACTGCTCGTTAACACTTAATTTCTAAGCAGCCAATCACATGGCGGCAACTCAGTGCATTTAGGCATGTAGACATGGTCAAGACAATCTCCTGCAGTTCAAACCGAGCATCAGTATGGGGAAGAAAGGTGATTTGAGTGACTTTGAACGTGGCATGATTGTTGGTGCCAGAAGGGCTGGTCTGAGTATTTCAGAAACTGCTAATCTACTGGGATTTTCACGCACAACCATCTCTAGGGTTTACAGAGAATGGTCCGAAAAAGAAAAAACATCCAGTGAGCGGCAGTTCTGTGGGCGGAAATGCCTTGTTGATGCCAGAGGTCAGAGGAGAATGGCCAGACTGGTTCGAGCTGATAGAAGGGCAACAGTGACTGAAATAACCACTCGTTACAACCGAGGTATGCAGCAAAGCATTTGTGAAGCCACAACACGCACAACCTTGAGGCGGATGGGCTACAACAGCAGAAGACTCCACCGGGTACCACTCATCTCCACTACAAATAAGAAAAAGAGGCTACAATTTGCAAGAGCTCACCAAAATTGAACAGTTGAAGACTGGAAAAATGTTGCCTGGTCTGATGAGTCTCGATTTCTGTTGAGACATTCAGATGGTAGAGTCAGAATTTGGCGTAAACAGAATGAGAACATGGAACCATCATGCCTTGTTACCACTGTGCAGGCTGGTGGTGGTGGTGTAATGGTGTGGGGGATGTTTTCCTGGCACACTTTAGGCCCCTTAGTGCCAATTGGGCATCGTTTAAATGCCACGGCCTACCTGAGCATTGTTTCTGACCATGTCCATCCCTTTATGGCCACCATGTACCCATCCTCTGATGGCTACTTCCACCATGTCACAAAGCTCTAATCATTTCAAATTGGTTTCTTGAACATGACAATGAGTTCACTGTACTAAAATGGCCTCCACAGTCACCAGATCTCAACCCAATAGAGCATCTTTGGGATGTGGTGGAACGGGAGATTCGCATCATGGATGTGCAGCCGACAAATCTGCGGCAACTGTGTGATGCCATCATGTCAATATGGACCAAACTCCCTGAGGAATGCTTCCAGCACCTTGTTGAATCTATGCCACGAAGAATTGAGGCAGTTCTGAAGGCAAAAGGGGGTCCAACCCGTTACTAGCATGGGGTACCTAATAAAGTGGCCGGTGAGTGTACATGCATGTGTGTGTATTTATATATATACAAAATAATTATACACAGTGCACCCACATATATTATGTAAAAAAAACTTTTATTTTGGATGTGATTAATCGTGATTAATCATTTGACAGCCCTAATTATATTATATTATATTATATTATATTTTATTTTATTTTATTATATTATATATGGTTATTTTAGTAGTACTTATATACCATTATAGATTTTTTTATATATATTTTGAATTAGCTTTAATTTTTAATTTTTAATTTTATTTTTAAAATTACATTTAAAAAAAAAAATTTAAATGGAAAAGTTATTTTAAATAAAATAATAATTTTATAATAATTGTTACTACATATTTATACATATTTTCCCCCCAAAATAAATGCGGCCTTGGTGAGCAAAAACAATATATATTCTGATGTCTGTGCATTGTTGTTTTATTTTGCGTGCACACACATGTGTGTATATACAGTATATGAAATTAAAAACACCTGAGATGCATATATGAATATATAATTATCAACAGTACATATGCATATATTCATTCTTATGCCTGTAAAATGTATTCCCAGTTGTCAGTATCTAAATGATCCAAATAATATCTAAATTTATTCAAGTCCATGAAATTATTTAATATTGCTATATTTAATATTGCTGACCTAAATACAGTAGAATGCACCACTGAAACAATTGCACATATACAGCTACCTAGTAAGAAACATAATCCAATTATCAAGGGGTAAAGTGATGTCAAACATACACATGAACTCGCTCACTCTCATTTATTATCATAAATGTCAGTTTCTTGGTTACAGTAATGGAGCTGTCTGTGTCTGAGCTATTAACTGTCCCTAAAAGCTCTCTTTTCCACCCAGAGCTCCACAGATGGAATGACCTCATCATCTCCAGAGCTCATGCATGCTTAACATAAATGGCAAACAATTCAACCCAAGACCATAACTCTTCTTCAGCAGTTTTTCCCCTGCAGCACAACTTTAGTAGCCTATAAAATGAATCAAAGCAGCTGTTGTGCTCTTTTGTGTCTGACCCGATGTGATCTCTGCTCTCAGGAAGGATATCTGCGCAGGCATGAATCAGCCGTGTGAGACGCTAGGCTTGTCTCACCTGTCAGGCATGTGCCAGCCACATCGCTCCTGCAATATCAACGAGGACTCAGGGCTACCGGTCGCTTTCACCATCGCTCATGAGCTTGGACACAGGTACGTTTCGATCAAATGGTGTCATTGGTGCATTTGGAAAGGTCACTGTAGGTGAACTGTAAAGAAATACATTTGTCTCTTCCTTTAGACCCAAATTTTTTTTATCAAGGATTCATTATATTGTCAGTGTTGGTTGCAGGAGAGATGAAACAGGATCTAAATTCAGCAGTCTTTATTTGGAAATAAACTCAAATCTCCACAAAACAGAATCTCAGGAACAGGAACAAAATCAGGAACAGAACAACCAACTCTAAACATGAACACACAAACTAAATATGCGACAGAGATAGATCAAAAGTGCTTTTGTAAAATAATTTCTATTTCAAATAAATGCTGTTCTTTTGTCCTTTCTAATCATCAAAGTATCCTGAAAAAAAATGTATCATAGTTTCCACAAAAAATGTGAAAACTGCACAACTGTTATCAACATTGATAATAATAAGAAATGTTTCTTGAGCAGCAAATCATCATATTAGAATGATTTCTGAAGGATCATGTGACACTGAAGACTGGAGTAATGATGCTGAAAATTCAGATCACAGGAATAAATTACAACATATCTAAATAGAAAACAATTATTTTAAATTGTAATATTGTCTTTACTGTGTTTTTGATCAAATAAATGCAGCCTTGGTGAGCTTAAAAGTAAAAAAATTAAACAAATCTTAGACAGTAGTGTACATTTGAAGGGATAAAAGGTCAAGTCAAGTCAAGTCAAATATATTTATATAGCACTTTTCACAATACAGATTGTATCAAAGCTGCTTCACAGTATCAATCAAAACAACTTAACAGTGTTTGTTTATTACTGGAAAAAGACATCCAAGTTTGGTAGAGCTGATCAGTGGTATGATGGGTCATTTAATTCGAATATTCCCAAAAGGTGTTGAGTGATTTAAGGAGTGATTCGCCTTGTTTTTTTGTAGTTTCGGAATCCAACATGACGGTCAAGGGAATGACTGTGAGTTAGTGGGGAGACATCCCTTCATCATGTCCCGCCAGCTCCACTACGACTCCTCTCCTCTCACCTGGTCCTCCTGCAGCAAGGAGTACATAACCCGCTTTCTCGAGTGAGAACACGCTCTCTTGTACAGGAACATGTAATTGCATGCTTTATATCTTACGTCTTACCACTAACTTTTGAGTATTCCAGACTATGATCTTCATTCATAAAGCTCTGTTATCTTCACCTGCTCAGTCGTGGTTGGGGTTTCTGTCTGGATGACCGTCCGTCTAAGAAGGGCCTCAGCACCCCGGGGGCGGCACCTGGAGTGCGATACACACCCCAGCACCAGTGCCAGCTGCAGTACGGGCCCAACGCCACCTTCTGCTCAGAAGTGGATGTAAGGAGTGCATTGTTCAAAAAACAAGATAAATAGAAAGGGCAAGGACCAGGATCAAATCAAGTTTAACATCTACATAAATACATAATCATTCATTTATATTATTATCATCCAGCTCTTTATACAAAGTTGAATGTATAAGTATGTCCAATTTTATCCACATAAATACAGTTTACTCACTAAGGGCAATATATACTATTTAGCAAATCTCAATTGCTTGATTGCCTGTACGTCGCAAATTGTAAACTATCGCTGCGTCCGAATACGCCAACTTCCATACTTTATAGTAGGCAAAAAACAGTATGGCTGTGTCCGAAAACTTAGGCAGCTGGTAGTGACTTAATGGGCAGCGTTTGCGCACAAAGGTACTTCACGAAACTGATTGTGGACGATTTAATGATCGACAGCAAAATGGAGCAAGCTTTGGTGAAAACTAAGCAAATATTTAATTACTACAATAGTAATTTGCACACAAACTTTTTTTTTTTTAAATGTATTTTAATTATCCACATAACAACATTATAAAACGCAAAAAAAATATAAGAAAGAGAAAAAAATATAAAATAAAGTATATAAAGATTAGAGAGACCGAGAGAGGAAAAATAATACAAAATAGAGTATAAAAGTAGTTGACAACTATCTATGTACACTGAGCACAGAAGATTTTATTTATTTTTTTATTTTTATTTTTTATTATCAACAAAGTTTGTACAAACACTTGTGTATACATCATTGACATACAACATATATATAACAAAGACTTTCACACTAGGGGGCTATTGCTAATTTATATGAAGATATTAAAGCAATTACAAATTTTCAATGTTTTAATTGCTTTTTGCTTCATAGAAAATCGGAGTGAATCAATATAAACCTCAATTTCTTTCCTGAATGAAGTAAAATAAGGTTATTTTGCACACAAACTGACCATCAACCGAAACTTTTAGACGCCATCTTTATTTTTCTAGCTCAACTGTCACAGAATGGAAAGCACAGGATTGGGGGATATCAAAGGCAGGGAAGGATACATCTATGCTGCCTTTAAAACTCGATCAGATGAAGGTATCTCAGGAGATAAGAAGTGAAGCTAACATTGGATTCAAACGTACCTTGATGCCTTCCTACCTTGTAATGCATCCTCCGATGGCAGCCGATGTGAGCCGAGTAATGTGTCCGGATTCATAGTATTCATAAAACAGTTGGCGAAAAATACCCGAATGACCTAGTACTTCTGGTGAGATTCTGGAATGTGCATTAGATGGACACTTTACTATCCCATGAGGCCACGGGAGAGGGTTTGTGAATGGAAGTGAAGCAACACAACCAACGGCTTAGGTCACATGACAATGTCAACATGGCGAATGTAGTACGTCCGGATTTAATTCATACTACACACATTCATACTATATAAAACATACTTTTTTAACGGTCGCAAATTAAGTTTCAGACCAAATGTTGCATCTACTACTTTATAGTGTGCTATTTCAGACCTAGCAACTATTATTGCCCAGCTCTAATCTGCTATGCAACTATAAGGCCTGAAAATCTTAAACATTAACATTGTAATTTTCTGTATGCTTTGAAACACTATCTACTGTGAAAAGCGCTATATAAAAAAGAGGAGTATTTACCATGCAAAAGTCACCACCGTTATACTAGTATGTTCTGGGTGGATTGCAGGGTGTTGCATTGTGGTTGCTAGGCGGATTTTAGTGGATTGCTATAGATGTTCCTGGTGGTTTTTTATTGCCTCTGTTTAAAGGAGTCTATGCCCAAGTGTCTGTGGTATTTAGGTCCCTAGATTTGGATTGGGACATTGTGGAATGTTTTTGGACATTTTATTTTTCCCTAGGCAAGAGTTTTCAATCAAAATATTGTCAGATTTTCAGAAAAATAAATTTCAGAAAAATTCACTTAAATAATAAAATAATTTCATGCCTCTCTTCAATAAGCTGCAATTTTGTGCTTTTACACCAGAATTTAATGCTTTCGGTGTTTGTTCAAAAAGTTTTACTTTTGCTTGTTTTTACAAGCTGAGTGGAAAATATTTTTTCTATATTTTTTTTTATATTTAATATTGTTATATTTTTTCTTGCATACTTTTTCTGGTGCTTTTACACCAGAGTTTAATGCTTTCGGTGTTTGTTCAAAAAGTTGTAACATTTGCTTGTTTTTACAAGCTGAGGGGAATATATATTCTGAGGTGAATATATTGTATCTGTGTAAAGGACACAGATAAAGTTTAGAGTTTAAGATGTATTCATTACAATATTACTTTGATTTTTTTTTTTTTTTTTTTTAAGTATAATGGATTTTCTTGTCTCAAATAACGAAAGGGGATCTTCAGGTTGTCAAGTAAATAATTCTGTCCCTTTTGGTTCCAGAACGTGTGTCAAATTCTGTGGTGCTCTATAAATGGGACGTGCCGCTCCAAACTGGACTCGCCAGTCGACGGAACCAAGTGCGGACCTGAGAAGGTAGGAGAGATTTACATGTAGAGAGAAGTGGTTTTTTGTATCACCATATATTTACTCGTGTATCTGTGTGTGTCAGTGGTGTATCTCTGGTGAGTGTGTCATCGTAGGGAAGTTACCGGAAACGGTGCATGGAGGGTGGGGCCCCTGGAGCACCTGGTCCTTCTGCTCTCGGACCTGTGGAGCCGGCGTCCAGTCCGCAGACAGGGAATGCAACAAGCCTAAGTACCATTATTCCTCAGTGCTTTTCTTTCATTCATTCATGTTTTGTGGTCAGGAGGATTTTTTTAAAAGAAATTTGTTTTATTCAGAAAGGGTGCATTAACTTAATCAAAAATGACAATATCAGAAGTTGATCAAAAGTGTCCAGATCAGCATATTAGAATGATTTCTGAAGGATCATGTGACACTGAAGACTGGAGTAATGATGCTGAAAATTGAAAATTCAGCTTTGATCACAGGAATAATGTAGATTTTAAAATATATTCAAATAGAAAACAGTTATTTTAAATAGCAATAATATTGTACATTATTACTGTTTTTACTGTATGTTTGATCAAACGGTAAAGTGTAAAGTGTTACCGATCAAATAAATGCATCATTTGTGAGCATAAACTTCTTTCAAAAATATTAAAGAACCTTTTGAACGTTAATGTATTTGTGTGTGTATATATACATATAAATATGTATATTGATTTCATAAAAAGTTAAAAAATCTAATATTTATTTGTCACGTGAAATCAAAGGTCAAGTCGGGTGCATTGTATTCTGGGATATAGTATTCTGTGTGCAGTGTGCTTGTTATATACTGCACTTTTTGTAAATGTATTGAGCCATTATTGGGGGGATAGTCAGAGAATTTACATACTGGCTACAATAAACGTACTGCATAAATAAGTACAGTGGTTGTTGTATGCTATCCTGACAGTGTGTTCATGTATTTCTGCATATTATCTTCTGTACTACCAGCAGAAAACACAAGAGGGCACACCTGTACCTATTTTGCGAACTGCTGCTGCCTTTTTAGTGCTGTCATAAATTCACTAGCGTCTTACATTTTTAACTTTAAATAACCACTGTCTCTTTTTTTTTCTCCCCATTTCAATTCCTCCCCCTTCTCAGTCTGTCCTTGTATATTTTGCCGAACATATGATCTGTAGCATGATTTTTGTTTCTATGTACAGACCTGAGTTTGGAGGGAAATATTGTACGGGTGAGCGGAAGCGCTACAGGATTTGCAACACGAAGCCGTGTGCCAGAAAACAGCCCTCCTTTAGAGAGATGCAGTGCAGTGAATTTAACACTGTGCCTTACCACAATGAACTCTACGAGTGGATCCCTGTTGCGGCGACCTGTAAGATCACATGCATCAAAATATTCCATTCAAATGTGTATATGCATGGGACAAGATCAATATTTGTGGTCAAGAGAAAATACACTACCGTTAAAAAGTTTGGGGTCATTTATTTGCTGCATTTATTTGATAAAAAATACCCCAGAAATTGTAATATTGTGAAATAAACTGTTTTCTATTTGAATATATTTTCAAATGTAATTTATTCCTGTGATCAAAGCTGAATTTTCAGTGTCACATGATCCTTCAGAAATCATTTTAATATGCTGATTTGCTGCTCAAGAAACATTTCTTATTATTATCCATGTTGGACACAGTTGTGCTGCTTAATATTTTTATGAAAACCATGATGCATTTTTTCAGGATTCTTTAAATGAATTGAAAGTTCAAAAGATCAGCATTTATTTGAAATAGAAATATTTTGTAATATTATAAAATCTTACCCCAAATATTCACTATTGTTTATATATCTTAACTTTTATTAGCACATTAGCATATTGACGGCATCAAAACTAATATACTTAGATTAAAAACGATTTCATGGGTCATGACGAGGATCTGTTTCAGAAATTTGAAAGCTTATTCAAAATATTTTTTTGTAGGCCATAGCATGTGGCCTAATTGACTGTTTTGGGGCCTGTGAGCCACCATCCCTGCTTCTTTGAACATATTTCTTCTCAAGAGCTCTTTGAATAAACACAGCTTTCTACAGAACTGTGGCGCTATTAATGTTTGTTACCCTGAAGACTTGAGAAATGAAAACATGTGCTCTCTACAACTGAACAGCTGAGCCAAGACACTGCGGCGGGTCGAGGCCTGTTGACATTAACATAAAACTCCTTACACGTGGCTGCTTACAGTTTTATAGAGTTTGTTGGTTCACTTTCAAGAATGCCCCACTTTTATTAGCCAGCTTTAGAGGTGTGTGGGTTCCTGACACAAATGTTTAGTCATTGTTGTTTGCTCTGTTTAAGCAGTTGGAGCACAGCAGGAATTTGGGATTGTAGATTATAGCCTAAAGACTATTTGATGTTTGCATGGTAACAATATCTATTAATTATAAACTTTATATGAGTCTTTTGGTAACTTAGATTTAGATTTACAAAAAAAAAAAAAAGTTCTGTGGCAGGGTGTACGATGGTATAGAATAGTATCTATGCCTAAACTACTGTTCAAAAGTTTTGGAGTCAGTAAGATTTTTTTTATATATATTTTTTTATTCAGCATGGACACATTAAATTGATCCAAAGTGACAGTAAAGACATTTATAATGTTACAAAAGATTTATAGTTCAAATAAATGCGGTTACTTTGACCTTTATATTCAGGATAAAGGATCCTGAAAAAATCGTGTCATGTTTTCCACAAAAATATAAAGCCGCATAACATTTATAATAGTAAAAATTGTTTATTGAGAATCAAATCAGCATATTAGAATGATTTCTGAAGGATCATGTGACACTGAAGACTGGAGTAATGATGCTGAAAATTCAGCTTTGATCACAGGAATAATTTACATTTTAAAATACACGACCATAGAAAACACTTGTTTTATATTGTAATAATATTTCACAATATTACTGTTTTTACTGTATTTTTAATCAAATAATGCAGCCTTCTTTAAAAAACATTAAATAAAATCTCACTGACCTCAAACTTTGAACAGTACATAGTTCTAGGTTATATCATGGTACTTTTTGGTACTTTCCATGATATTAAATGTATTAGGATAAAGGAATTTATTCTTCACTGTCTGTATCACACAGTAAATAGCAGGCCTGTCTCTCTCTCACAGCGCGTCCATGCGAGTTACACTGCAAGCCTGTGGATGAGGACTTTTCTGAGAAGATGTTGGATGCGGTCACAGACGGGACGCCCTGCTTCATGATCAACAACAGCAGGAACGTCTGTGTCAATGGTGTGTGCAAGGTAGTGTGGCTGGGTATGTCTTACTCAACCCAATTGTGCTTGTGTATTGATGTTTTACAGCTGTGTATATCAGTGTGTAACAAAGTATTTTGTGACACTTTCACATGTCTGAATGTCATTACATATTAAATGATCAAAGATGCATCTGTGCTGCACAAGCTTCACTAACAACATTTTTTCTTCATTATTCTTGTTCAATGTTCTTTTCAGCTTCATTTTGAACTGTATGCACTACCATTCAAAAGTTTAGGGTTGGTAAGATTTTTATTTTATTTTATTCAACAACAAAAACATGCTCAGCAAGGCTGCAATTATTTGATCAAAAACAGTAATATTGTGAAATATATATTTTCCTTTAGAAATATTTATAACAATCTAGATGTCTTTGTCACTTTTGATTAATGTGATGCATCCTTGCTGAATAAAAGTATTTAATTTCTTTCACACACACAAAAAAATAATAATAATCTTGCTGACCCCAAACTTTTGAACAGTAGTATATATTATCCAGATGTGTCACCTACATGTCCATTTACAGGTAAATCAACCTTAAAGGAATATTTCATCCAACAATTTAAATTCTGTCTTCATACTCACTGTTCTGCCTTAGGAAAGCCAGTCATACAGGTCTGGAACGACATAAAACGTTTTATATGAGATATATGAGACATATTTGTTTCATAAACATGTCATTTTTGAGTGAATTATGCCTTTAATTATTGTTTTTACGAATACATAAATTGGTTGGTCAACAGCACATGCCTTTTTTTGTCTCCTAATATTGACCTGTCATGTTATGAGAAAAGTAAATTATGTTTTTGTGCCATAGAGAACAACTATATTGTGTGTGTGTGTGTGTGTGTGTGTGTTTGTGTAATCTTTCTCCAGGAGGTGGGTTGTGATTTTGGCATTAATTCTAATGCTAAAGAGGACAGCTGTGGCGTTTGTCTCGGTGACGGATCCACTTGTGAGACGGTGAAGGAGAACTTTGTGAAGCTAGATGGATTTGGTGTGTAGCACACATGAGTTATATATTTATATGTATATTTCTATATTTTAGAGATTAAATTACATTTAACAAATGATAAATTAAATGATATATGTCCAGATGAATGTACTTTTGTTGAAACTCCAATGTTTGAATGATGTCTTATATGGTTTATAAGTGAGATCATGTGATTTAGGTTACATGGACCTGGTTTTGATTCCTAAGGGAGCTCGGGATATCTTCATACAGGAAGTAGAAGAGGCTGGGAATTTCCTTGCGATCCGAGCGGCTGATTCAGATGAGTATTACCTCAATGGGAATTACATCATTCAGTGGAACGGAGAGTATGAGGCAGGTGGCACAAAGTTTTACTACGAGCGGAGCGGAAATATGGAGAATCTCACCTCTGCAGGACCAACAACTGAACCTGTCCGGATCCAGGTACCCTCACGCATGTAAACACTTGATCTGCCTAAATGCACATGTACCAAAGGAATTTTCTAGGTTCAATATCCTTTAAACTCTAAAGACACCATCAGGTTTATAAAAACAAAGAAAAAATGTGCACTTACATTTAAAGAAGTTCAAGAAATCCTGAAAGTAAGTTGTAGTAAGGAAATGTAAAGCTAAAAAACAACAATTAAATAATAATAATTAAAATAGTGTTTATGGATCGTTGCATCACATCCCTTTATGAGAACAGAAAAAGATTGGCAAATGATTTTATAGCACCATTCTCATACATGATTGATAGGGCTACATAAAATTGTGACGCCATTTACAATTTAATTCCTGTTGTATACGTTCAAAACAGTGTGTATTTTGGCTTTTATTCTTGAGCTTTGCTTTGCTTTGCCACATCGACTTTCATTTAAAAACACAACTGGAAATGCAATTTTTGTTTGTATTAACACATTGAGTAAAGAGTATGTGGCTTTACTTTGGAAATCAATTGTAGTGAACCTACATTATTGGTTTAATGACCAATTTGCCCAGAAAGCATTTTTGTTAGAATACCGGATTTTGATTTAATTCAATTCTCTGGTGAAAAACCATTTCATAATCGGGGCAGGCACAAAGAGTGTTTTTTATTTATCACTCTTCTTCTGAAATGATTTATGTGAGAAAGCATGAAAAATAGCATGACAAATAAAGCCGTTGCGTCTTAGACTGGCGGCACTTGCAGAACAAGATGATTTCTTGAATACTGCAATTAAATGATAGATGTTTTTGTTTTAATTTGAAATGTTCAGTTGTTGTTCCAAGAGCTGAATCCTGGTGTCAAGTATGAGTACACCATTAAGAGGAGTCGCCCGCTGGGGAACGATATTCTGGAACCTGAATATATCTGGAAATACGGAGCATGGACTGACTGCAGCACCACCTGTGGGCTTGGTATGGAGATTTTCTTTACTTTTCATTACAGTCCATACTTAAATTGACTTTTTTTTTGGTTCCAAACAATTGAATCGCAGTAGTTACTGGGTTTGTTGTTGTTTGTAATGTTCTCCCATCATTTAGATATCTTTAAAAGCTGATAGGTCTGATTTTTTTTCTCTCTGTATAGGTGAGCAGCATCAACCTGTGCGCTGTTTCGAGGCAGAGGTTGGCGTGGTTGAAGAAACACTATGTGACCCCAGTACCCGTCCTGATGACAAGCATCGCAAGTGCAAGAACATGGACTGCCCTGCGAGGTACGGTAATGTATAAATAATGGCTATGTGTTAAGAATGTACAGTACACCACCATACCCATCTTATTTATTATTTCTGCAGTGTGTGGTATGTTTACTGTGCATAGTATGCAGCTTTTCTGTACGCTTCGAATAACCAAAGAACCTACGACATTAGACAGCAGAGTATACTGTTCTGATAACTGTATCCCATAATACAGCATGTCTCATTATTCATTAAATAAGCTAAAACAACAAAAAATCTAGATATTTATTAGTATTTGGTTATTTTTATACTGAATATACATCTTTATAGTTATGCCAAGCACTAAAATATTTTATTGGGGAGAAATTGTGAGTGGGGGGGCCTTCAAATATTGTTGTGGATAATAGACCTTAATCAGGGTAGCGCCATATTTTTGGAAAGGAATGAAAACAAGGCAGTGAGGGATAGAATACATTGCGTTCAATGGATTGTACTGTGGTTAAAAACATAGTGTTTATTCAGCTTGTAAAAATGTAGTTGTAAAAATTACATGATATAGGATATTTATTCAGTGTACGCAATTGTAAAGGCTGTTACGGAGCCACAGAGTGGAAAAAAATATGAGATGGGAGGAAAATGTTTTTGCGTTCCCCCAAGAAAGAAGTTTCTCAGGGGAGAGAATGCAAAAGCATTGCCAAATCATTTTTCCTCCCATCTCATATTTTTTCTCTTCACCATGTCCCTTTAGGGGCTCCTCTGGCTGTAAGTCTATCCCTCACAGCCTCATTTTCATCCGTGTTAAATTTAATATGGCATCTTACCTGGCTAAGGTCTATGGGGGGCATTGAAGTCAAAAAGGTTGAGATACACTGGCCTAAACCCTTGCTGACTTCAGGTGGTGGCTGGGAGGATGGCAGACATGCTCGGCTACATGCGGTCCCACCGGAGTGAGAAAGCGCACCATACTGTGTGTGCGTACGGTGGCCGGAGAGGAACGCGTTCTGCACCCTGGGGACTGTAAGCAGCTGCCCAAATCCAAAACTGTGTTACCTTGCAACCGAGATGTACCGTGTGGGTCAGAATGGACTGTGGGGAACTGGAGTGAGGTGGGCTGTTTTATTGCAAATTAACCTGATTAATGTTCTTTATGTAAGAGCTCTTATAAGTGCCCCTAAAGGGACATGGGAATTGCAAAAAAATGGAAATGGTAATTATATATCAATGCTTTTGTGTTCGCTCGCAAAATTTTAGCACTGAAATATAATTTTTCCGACCATCTCATATTTTTTCCATCACCATGTCCCTTAAGGTCTCCGCATCAGTTGCATGTTTTGTGGATTGTTTGGAATTGTTCAGGATTTAAAGAAAAACTTTTACCCTCATTTTGACTTTTACTTTTACTTTAAAAGGCCAAAAATCACAGTAAAAGTCAAATCATGACTAAAGTATCAAAAAACTGGTGTATTTATATGTGCTTGTAGATAGATAGATAGATGGATGGATGGATGGATGGATGAATGGATATGGATGGATGGATAGATAGATAGTGGATGAATGGATATGGATGGATGGATGGATAGTGGATGAATTAGATAGATAGATAGATAGATAGATAGATAGATAGATAGATAGATAGATAGATAGATAGATAGATAGATAGATAGATAGATAGATAGATAGATAGATAGATAGATAGATAGATAGATAGATAGATAGATAGATAGATAGATAGATAGATAGATAGATAGATAGATAGATAGATAGATAGATAGATAGATAGATAGATAGATATGGATGGATGTGCATTTATTCCAAGTCTTCTGAAGTCATGCAATAGCTTTGGATGAGGACAAGACCGAAGTTCAAGTTGTTGTATTTTTCAATGAAAATCTTTTGCCTGTCAAATCTCATTCATGCATGCACATATTTATATTACTTTTGCCCAGTGGTGGACGAAGTACACATACCATGTACTTGAGTAAAAGTAAAGATTCTCAAGGTAAAATATTACTCAAGTAAAAGTAGAAGTGCTGCCTTTAAACATTCACTTGAGTAAAAGTACAAAAGTATTTGCCTACCAAATGTATACTTTGATTTTTTTTATGGCTATAATGTCCTATTATAATTTGTCACAAGACTCTTGCTTAACTCAGTCTAAGTGAAGACTAATGTCACTCTTGGCACACCAGTCTATTAAAAAAATGACATTAATTAGTCTGATATATATATATATATATATATATATATATATATATATATATACACTGTATGTATATATATTTGAATTGAATTAATATTTTGTGTGTTTAATTTTGGAGGGAAGGGGACTGTTCCCATAAGGTATAAAACATTTAGAGTATTTACTGTATATATTTTTCTCCAGTGCCTATGGTCATAATTATTAACATCTTAATGTTATGATACATTCACATAAACCTGCACAACGCCATTAAATATATATGTGATTATTCACATCCAAAATAAAAGTTTTTTTTTACATAATATATGTGGGTGCACTGTGTATAATTATTTTATATATATAAATACACACACATGCTTGTGTATATTTAAGAAATATTTTCATGTATATACTGTATATAGATTTATATATAATTTATATTATATATAAATATAAATATTTTATATATAAATAATATTTTTTTCTTAAATATACATGCATGTGTGTGTATTTATATATATATACAAAATAATTATACACAGTGCACCCACATATATTATGTAAAAAAACTTTTATTTTGGATGTGATTAATCATGATTAATCATTTGACAGCCCTAATATATATATATATATATATATATATATACACACACACATATATATTCACACACACATGCGCGCGCGCGTACACATACATTTATATACATTCTATATGCTATGTTATGGGAGCAGCCAATTTCCCTCCGAAATTAAACACAAAAATTTATTAATGCAGTGTTTCTGCTAGGCTACTCCCCAGAAAAAAAAGCTATTAGATGCAAGTAATTTTAGTGGCAACGTAAGAAATGTACATTATGCGTCAATAGTTACCGATAATTGCTGCAAATAGCTGCTGCTCTCTGTCCCGCTTAAAATCATTGTCAACGCGATTTGTTTGGAACTATTGAGAGCTAGCCTACACGAATAACGTGACCGCGCGGCGGCGAGATCACTGTCACATCTATGTTCACAACTCTCATTTGACGGCTCTGGTTCGCGCTTAGTAGATACCGGTAGATACCGCCAAGGCAAGTTCAAAACAAAGCGTGCGCGCTGATTGGTGGCTCGTTCGACCAGTTACGTTTTTATCCACTCATAAATAAGAAGGAAAGACTGATTTTGAAAATGTAGTAGAGTAAAAAGTAAGATATTTGACTTTGAAATGTAGTGGAGTTAAAGTAAAAGTCTCTCAAAATTTAAATACTTGAGTAAAGTACAGATACGCAAAAAAGCTACTTAAGTACAGTAACGAATTACATTTACTTCGTTACTGTCCACCACTGCTTTTGCGTAGTAATTAGTTGCATTGTCATACTATTTCATTTGTGTATTACTGGAATATATGATTGTCATCCCGCAGTGCTCTCTGTCTTGTAATGGAGGAATACAGTCCAGAACAGTCAAGTGCGTTGCAAAACAACCCAGCCAGTGCAACCCTTCCAGTCGACCTCGTTCCACAAACTTCTGTAACCTCCAGAGCTGCAGACCACAATTCCGACCTAGAGTCCCTCCTAAAACCCCAACGCAGGCCCCCGGGACCCAAACACCAGGATATAGCACCACTATCGTGCCTCCAAACACCTCTACTCCCATTACAACACACACCAACACTTCCCCAACATCCACAACATCTGACATCATCCATGAAGATGACCGAGACTTTATCTTGGTGAGGGATGGTCACAAAGACAATGATGGTCGGGGAGCGGGTCCCTCAAATACTAAAGACCGGGGAGCTCCTGAGGACGAGGAGGGAAGCACAGACCTGCAGCCTCCGGATAAAAGCTACACAACGGGTTATGATTACATAGTAGAAGATCCAACCGGAGAAGAAAGAGCACGTGTGGATGATATGTTTACCAGCACTCCTGAAGAAGTCCCCACATCCACTGTCCGACCAACCACAACCCGAGCACCAATGCATACTATCATTGACACAACAAAACCAACCTCTACCAGTAGAACCCAATACATTGATCTCACAACACATCAATGCACTAAAACAAGCCCATTTGAACTAAATACCACCCCAAAACCCAAAGTGCCACATTTAAATACTCAAAGTCCCCAAGCAACTTTTCCTACAGTGAAGATACTCAGGAAGGCCTCACAAACACCGAAAGGTCCCAACAAAGGCAAGGCGCCTAAAGCTTTTAGGCAGAGGCCGGAGACGGCGAACACCACCGATGATGACTATGGGAACCTGAATGCACGAGATCCCATCAGAAGGAGTGCATTTTGGGAAGTTGGCAACTGGAGTGATGTAAGAATGAAAACTTAATTAGTCCATGTCTAAGGTGATCATCTGCCTCTTGTTGCATTATCTGCAAATAATTATAACTAGATGTGCATTTCCAGAAAGAAATAGCAATGCTTGTGTTGCATAAAAATAATAGTGTTAAAGGTTTAGGTTTTAGACTTTGAATGGCATGAATTTCTTCCTCAGTATTTTTGTCTTGTTTTTCAGTAGAAATTAGGGGTTGAACCGACTAGTCGATTAGTCGACCTTAATGAAACACCGCGACGCTTTAAGCTTGACGTCGACTAGTCGCGATGATCATGTGACACATGATTGCGCTACTTTTAATACTAACATGTTGCAGACGACAACAGATGAAGAGCCCAGAGGGTAATTGCAGCAAGAAAGCAGCATTGGTACATCAAATGTGTGTAAATACTTTCCTAACCTAACACTAGATATTGTTGAAAACGAAAGTAAAAGCATGACGCACGCTCACTACCGGAAATGAGAGTTCAGTATCTTTATTAAAATCATTAAAACATTTTTTTTTCATTTATTTAAACATATTAATGATGTAGCTAATTCACCCGCAGTTAATTGGAATATTATTTTGTATTACTTGGATCTGCGCATCACTAAGGCACAGATGTGAATTTATAGCTTTTTTTCCTTTTCTTTTCATCCTAAATGATGATGTAACTGCGGGCTGTTTTCACCAGGGCACTTCATGTGTTTCTGTGATCTGATAGCTATCCGATCGTGAAAAGACCAGGTGTAAATGCCCTCCGAAACGCACTCGAGACGGATTTAAATCCGATCGCTCAAACCGCCTCAGGAGGAGGTCTGGGCCGCTTAACAGACGAAACTGGACAAGTGTAAATGCATCTGGTTTTTGAAACTGGACTTCTCCCAACAATGCTAAAAATAAACGTGTGAGAGCGTATTATAGCGATGAAGCTATGGCAACGCGCATCGCCGCATATGAGCAGCTCGAGCATCTATTCATCAAGCCAACGTGCAAACTATCGCAAATCAAAGTGAAAGTAAGTCGCAGACGCTTAACACACAATCATCTTCATTAAAAGTAAAGAAACAGAAATGATCTTACCAGTGCTGTCTCTCTTATTGCGGTCTTTGATTTTGAAATTAGCTGATGATCAATAAAATGCAGCTCATTATTGTTGCTTTCGGTGACGTGAACTCCGTTAAATCTGCATAGCGCGTTGTTTGAAGATCGGATTTATATCTGTTTTGCGAAAACATATTTATGTGACCAGGTGTAGGCTAAATGGCATCGTTTTGATAAATCAGATCAGTAAAAAAACATGAAGTGACCAGGTGTAAACGGCCCCATTATGAGCTGTCTGTCAGCATCTGTATAATTTTCTGTTAATTAATTGCAAATTGTGGCATGTTGCAAAGCAGTCCCATCTCTTGTGTTTTTATGAATGACGTCATCGACTAGTCGACGTCGACTCGACTTTGATGTCATAACAGTCGACTTAAAAAAATCTGAAGTCGTTCAACCCCTAGTAGAAATATCTAAATATTCTTGAATCAAGATATATTTACATGAGAAGCAAAATGACATGATGATTATATATAAATATTAAGTGAGTTTATGCCTAAAATGGGGGGAGGGGGGAATCTGCTAAAAAAAGTTTTAGTTTTTTCCCCCATTGGTAATTATTTTTTCTTTTTGAATCAATTTTAGTTTTCTTACCCCGTTGGAAATGATTTTTTTCTTGTTTTAAGCACAAACTCAATTTTGATATATTTCTGAGAAAACAAGACTTTTTTTTGCAGGATTTTTTGATGAATAGAAGTCTTCACTGTCACTTTTGATCATTTTAAGAATAAAAGTATTAAAAAAAAATTTTTTTAAAGAAAAATTATACTTACATTGACCCCCAAACTAGTGTACCTGTTTATTTACGCTTGAATCACTAGAGTTACCCACGTCCATCTGAGGAAATAAAATGCAGTCATGCAGTACTAATAATGCACTCACTCTAGTCTCTAATGTGTTTTTTTTCTTCAGTGCTCCACTTCGTGTGGTCTCGGAGCGGTATGGCGGTCCGTAACCTGCAGCTCAGAGCGTGAGGAAGATTGTGCCAGTGTGAAGAAGCCAGAACCTGCCCGACGATGCAACCTGCGACCCTGCGCCATCTGGAGGAGTGGTAACTGGACCAAGGTAAAGCCACGTTTCCAAACGAATTAAACCTTAACTACTGTATGCTGTTCTGAACTGTGAGATCTCCCTCTCTTTAGTGTCCTGAAGGCTGTGTGACTGATATGAAGCATCGAGAAGTGCAGTGCATCGACACCCAGAGCGGACGTCCATTGAGGCCGTTTCACTGTCAGGCTCTTTCAAACAAACCCCCCAGCAGTCTGCCCTGCACCAGCCGGCCCTGCCTGCAGTGGACCAACTCGCCCTGGGGAGAGGTACTAAACTGAGGATTACAATACTTATGTTACATTGCAGAAAACTGTCTAGTCTCTAGATAATGCATGTGACGGTATCAACATTTCATATCATGATAATTGCTGAAGCTTTTATTCAATTAAGTTACAAACTGTAAGAGTTAAATAACTTTTTTCTTATAACATTTTTTTTTTTTACATTTGAATACAATAAAACAATACTAAGTAATTATTATTTAAGTGTTTTCACTCCCCATCTAGGGCATGTTTTAGTCCAGATTCAAATGTAAAAATGTTTAAAGAACATATTGCAGGTTAAAAAAAACCCTAAATTAATATATAACCTTGTATGAAAATACCATATGACAAGGTAATGCAGGATTTAAAATGTTTTAAAACGACATAAGGGCACAAATTTAGTAGATAAAGTGAGCGTTTCTTTGACTGCTCGTAAAAACCTTTTTTTTTTTTCAACATCGCGTCATTTTACGTCACCAGAGGGAGGGAGCCTCAGCAGCGCAGATAGGTTTGTATTCAGTACGAGCGGGTAAATTTGCTTTTTTATACTCAGAATGACAATTTGGAATGTAAAGAACAACATATTATACAGTTATTTGTTTTATTAGGAAAATACCATATACATAAAAAGAATTGGGCTTTTTTTCACGTTTTATAAATGACTTCACATTATATGTACATCTTTTGGAACAAACTAACTAAAAACAAAAAAGCAATGAAAACATGTAATGCTTTGAAAGCACAGGATTTTATGTAAAACTTTTTTTGTGTTTTTTATTTCCTGGCAGCTAATGTTAATGTGATATTGTGAATATGTAAAACCTCTTGTTTTTGTGGCATCGAATTAAAAAAAAAAAGTCAGTAAGAGCGGTCGTGAATCACTGTTTTCGGTAGTTTTTATATTTTAATTTATCATCGTCATCATGGTAAATTATTGTGTTTGTGGAGGTTGCAAAAGCTCCGGCCTGTCAGGACATCGAGTCAGGTTTCCTAACAAGAAAAGGGACGGTGCTGTCTATCGTGCCTGTGTGCGGTGTGTGCAGCTGTAGAGACAGGATTTCTCTTCCGCATCGGCTTCGAAAAACGCGATCGTGTGTAGCGTACACCAGATCTGAGGAACAAAAACGTGTATATCAGGAATAAAAATATCTATCTGTCTCTCGATGAGCTAAGTTATATCACGTTACGTTAGTCTGGACGGATATAATGAGCATGACATACGCGCCTGATCAAAGCTTATATAGTTTATTCTGTTATTGGTAAAATCCAATACTCCTAGATGACCAATAATAGCTTTGCTATTAACTGATACGATGGTAATAATCGATATTCACCTCACATTTTACCAAACAGAATGAACGATGCACTATTAACTCTATTACACTATTAATTAAAACTCACAGTGAACAGCATTAAATATAAAAACACATATGCCTTACCTTTTTGTTGCAGTGCAGTTTTTATTGCAGTGGTATAATGTTTTGCCGACAGCACTACAGTCCTCATTTTTTTATTGCTGCTTCCATTCTCCTGATTGCTATTATTTAATTTCTTCTTAAAAAAACATCCAGGGAAGATTGAATAGGCCTGTTCTTTTAATGTTTACTCAGTGTCTGACAGCTAGGCTAATCAAAAATACATGCGATTAAGTGATGCAATAAACTGCGGCTGCGCACACTCACTCCACACAAGATGTTTTATAATAATACTTTTACAATAATGTGCGTCTCCTCTGACCGTTGTTCTGTCTAACATTAATCCTGGCCTGTCCCTGCTCTCTCGAGTCCGAAATGTCATTGCGATCCATTGTTTTCCTGTTGTTTGAATGGTTTGAATCGACCGCTCTCCCGCCCGTTACGTCACGCCCGTCACGCCCATTTTCAGATGCGGAAGTAAAATTCTCTCACAAAAACGACTCCAGAAGCCAATGTAACGTATTAATAAGTATATTTTAAAGAAAATCTAATTACTACTGTTTTTCTATACATTGACTCGTTGGGTCCTCTAACCTGCAATATGCCCTTTAAGTTTAATAAATATAGTTTATAAGACTTTCGTTCATCTTCGGAACACAATTGAAAATCTTTTTGATGAAATCTGAGAGCTTTCTGTCCCTCCATTGACAGCTACACAACTGACACTTTGACGCTTCAAAAAGTTCATAAAGAGACCGTGAAACTAATCCATATGAATTAATCGGTTGGGTCCAAAATTTTCTGAAGAAACTTGATTGCTTTATATAATGGGCAGATTGAGTTAAGGCTTTTATTCACATCTAAACATTCATCAACTCACACAGTTGTGGTAAACGGAAGCTCAAACATGTTTGCTTGGCGTGTGAGAACCAATGAGGTTCATTCTCGTGTTACGCATCACGTTTGAGCTTCAGAAAGAACCAATTTGGTTTGTTCACATGCATTAAGCAGGTTCAGTTGATGTTCTGTTTATGTGTGCTGATCAATGTTTATATGTAAATAAAAGCCTAAATTCAATCTGTTCATCATAGAAAGCGATTTAATCTCTTCAGAAATGTTGTACTAAAGCGCTCAATTCATATCGATTAGTTTTACCATCTCTTTATGAACTTTTTGAAGCGTCAAACTGCCTGACTCGTTCCGCCATGCTTCTCATGCGTGTTGGGCTTGTTTACATTGGAGAATACATGCCTCTGAAGCAGCACACACGCAAAGTTGTACATTTTAACCGACTGATGGAAAAGTATTTCCGTCAGGACCATTATCGTCAAAGATGATTGACAATTAGCATACAGTTTGGATTGGCGGTGTGGTTCTGTTCTGGGCAAGAACTCCCTGCGCATCCATGCAGCCTAGCATTGATAAGAGCATTGAGAGCAGTGATAAACAGAACAGAACCAACATAAATGTATCTCAGATATTATTAATGTTCAGTGATTTAATGTACAACATGATTCAAGAAAAATTAGTCTGATTCCAAGAGGAATATCAGAAGGCCGAGTTCTGACTGGACGAGAGGAGGAGCTGGGGATGGAGGAGGGTAATTCACAACTGAGCAACGTGATAAAAATCTGCTCATAACACTGAATGGACCTTATATGTAGGGATGCTGTCATAGGCATCGCATTTCTATAGGTAGACGTGGATGAGCTGAGAGTCAGCTGATGAGAGCTTGACTGACATGACCTGCCAGAACTAGCTTGATTCTAAAAATGGATTCTAAACTATACCATACGCACAACCGGCGCTACGTCATAGAATGTCTCTGAACAGATTCATGCCCACTTTTGGGGGAAATAAACTAGACTTCCCATAGACTTCAATACAAAATAGCGTCACAAAACAACGTCCGTACACAGCCGAAAGGCGTGAATAGCTTAAGAAATCATTAAGATTAAACATGTCAAGTAATTATATGTCCACCCTGCCTGCCATAGAGCGTAAAAGATACATACACAAACTTAATTTGGTCAATTTAAAAACATGTCCCTTCATTCTCCCAGTGTCAAATTGGTGTAACAACCCCACCCAGTGGCCAGAGGTGTCTTTCTTTTACTTTCTATGGTCTTACCCTGACATTTACTCGTATCGTACTTCATCGAGTCACCATATGGTAAGCCAGTGAATGATTTTACTTCGTTTTTGAAAGTAAACGTCTTTAAATGTATATATTTTGTCTTATAATATACATTATAATATATATAACCTCACTGGGTGGGGTTGTTACACCAATTTGAGGCTGGGAGAATAAACGGACATGTTTTTAAATTGAACAAATTAAGTTTGTGTATGTATCTTTTACGCTCTATGGCAGGCAGGGTGGACATATAATTACTTGACATGTTTTATATAAGTGATTTCTTAAGTTATTTACTCCTGTCGGCTGTGTACGGACATTGGTTTTCGCCGTTATTTTGTATTGAAGTCTATGGGAAGTCTAGTTTGTTTTCCTCCAAAAAGGGGCGGGGACGAAATTGACAGTTGTTCCCGGATGTGCCGGTTGTGCGTATGGTCTGTCTGAATACTCGATTCTGATTGGCTGGAAGGTGTGCATTAAAACCGTTTATTACACAGGTAGTTCAGTCAGTTTAATCACTGTTCTATATTAATGCACTGCTTTCATTGAAGCGCACACAGATCACTCGGAGATCACGCTTCTCACACAGAAACATTCAGGAGCACAGTTGTTATCAACACTACTATTAATAAAATATATTCGCTACTGAATCGCTACAGTACATTTCTCATCAATGAGGGGGTAACATCGCTGTTTTGGGAATTAAACTCACAACTTTGCATCGGGTGGTTCTTTGCCTCCACGTGGTGCATTAAAATTGTTACATTTTAACAACAGCTAGCCATGGATTATCCTTTACATAAAGAATTATTCACTGTATTTTGAAGTGCCCACAATAACAATACCATGCATGTTCATGCACGATGTTACTATGATATATTATACCAAATATCAACACATGTCTAGTCTAGATAAATGTTCTTCATCTGTGATTGACAGTGCTCTAAAAGTTGTGGGGAGGGAGTGAAGGAAAGACTTGTGCACTGCCCCGAGTATCAGCGCTGTAACGTCACGCTCAAACCCACCAGCACTGAGTCCTGTCGTCTGCAGCCCTGCACCGGCTGGGAGACTGAAGCCTGGGCTCAGGTAACACACTGCACAGACCTCACTCTTCATTCAAGAAAAGAGTAAATGTGGGTTTGGCTTGAGATCATGATGAATCCAATGTGTTGATGCACTATTAGTAATATTATTCGTTTTTAATTAATGCCTTAATTCAGCATGGATGCATAAAAAAAACACAACAAATTCCTTGTGTTTTGCGCACACTTGGTGAATAAAGCTGATTTTGTTTAAACTGATCAAAAGAGACACTAAAGAAATTTTTGATGTTTAAAAAAAAATCTAATTCAAATAAATTCTGTTCTAAAAATATGAAGCACAACTTTTTCATCAATAATTGTAATGAAGATGCAGAGGCAGAGTGAGAATCCATTTGCGGGAGTTTATTTGTGAGATTCACCCTTAGCAGTTGAGAGAAGGCAGGCAGTGGATATGAACAAACGTGACTGTCAGAAAGTTTCACATCCAATAGGGAGATCCAAAAGGCATAAGTCAGGAAGCAGGCAAGGGGTCCAAGCAGTAACATCAGTCCAAACAGGCAACCAATACAAAGGGGTAATCCAGGAATCGTAAGGCAGAGAATCAGGCAGAATCATACACAGGCAGACAGGCAGTAGAGAGTAGACAATAACGCTTGGTAAGGCAGTGTAAACTGGCAATACTTCGCGACGAGTGAAAGCATGGTCTCTGAATAAATAGGCAGGCAAACAGGAAATGAGTGTAGAAGAAGAGGGCGTGGATCACAGTCAGTATTCCGGTGAGAGCTCCCTCTGCTGGTTAGGCCTTACAGAACCCCTCCCTCTAGGAGCGACTCCTGGAGCTCGACGCGGCCGTCCCCGTGGTCTAGGTGCTGGTCGGTCAGGTCTGGCTCGATGATAGTCCTCTATGAGGGACGGGTCACAAATGTTCTGGGCAGCTACCCACGATCTCTCCTCGGGTCCATAACCCTCCCAGTCCACCAGATATTGGAGCCGACCCTCTCTTCGTCTAGAGTCCAGTAACTGATTGACAAGATACGCAGGAGTACCATCTATGTCCAGTGGAGGTGGTGGTTCTGGGTTCTCATGGACAGGGTAAGCATTCGGGTGGACCGGTTTGAGGAGAGAAACATGGAAGGAGGGAGATATGCGGTAGTTAGTAGGAAGCTCTAATCGGTAAGTGACTTCATTTATTCTTTTGAGAATTTTAAAAGGGCCAACGTACCTAGGACTGAGCTTCCTACTGGGCAGCTTGAGCTTGATGTTCTTAGTCGAGAGCCAGACTTGTTGTCCTGGTTGATAGGGAGGATGTGGGCGACGTCGTCTGTTGGCCTGGAACTCCTGTGTTCTGACGGCCCGCTGGAGACGGACGTGTGCACTGTCCCACACCCTTTCACTACGTTGAATCCATTCATCCACTGCAGGGACAGAAGAGGGTTCGCCCGACCACGGGAACAAGGGAGGTTGGAACCCCAGGACGCACTGGAAGGGGGTCAAGCCGGTAGATGTGTGTGTGAGGGAGTTCTGAGCATATTCGGCCCAGGGTAGGAATTCTGACCAGCGATGTTGCTCCCGACTGCAGTAGGTTCGTAAATACCTGCCGATTTCCTGGTTAAGGCGTTCAACTTGGCCATTGGCTTGGGGATGATAACCTGATGTGAGACTCACATTGATATCTAACTGTTTGCAGAAAGCTCTCCAGACCTGGGAAGTGAATTGTGTGCCTCTATCGCTGACGATATCCTCCGGAAGACCATATACTCTGAAGACGTGGTTGAATAAGGCTTGGGCCGTTTCCATGGCAGTGGGTAGTCCCTTTAGTGGTATTAAGCGGCAGGATTTGGAGAACCGGTCGATGATTACGAGAATAGTCGTGAAATGGTTGGATGAAGGGAGATCCGTCACAAAGTCTATGGATAGATGGGACCATGGTCGTTGTGGAATGGGTAGTGGTTGCAGAAGACCTGAGGGTGATTCTTTGGGGGTTTTAGACTGGGCGCAGACTTGACAAGATTTGACATAAGCGGTGATCTCCTGTGTCATGGTAGGCCACCAAAATGAATTTTGTATGAGATGGATGGTGCGAGAAATGCCGGGGTGGCCTGCACTAAGGGAAGTGTGGACCCATTGCGTAATGCGTGGACGCAGATTTTGCGGAACATACTCCTTGTCAGGGGGACAGTTAGCAGGTTGTGGTTCAAGTTGTTGTTCCTGACGCAATTCCTCCATGATATCCCATGAAATAGGAGCTAGGATAATGGAATGAGGAAGGATGGATTCAGAGGTGTTGGTTCTTGTAGGAAGGTCATGTCGTCTAGAAAGTGCATCTGCTTTACCGTTCTGACTGCCTGGTCGATAGGCCACGGTGAATTGGAAGCGAGTAAAAAACAGAGCCCATCGAGCCTGACGTGAGTTGAGGCGTTTGGCACCCTTGATGTACTCCAGATTTTTGTGATCGGTGATGATTTGAAAAGGGTGAATTGCCCCCTCCAACCAGTGTCGCCACTCCTCGATGGCGGCCTTCATAGATAGCAGTTCCTTGTTCCCCACATCATAATTTCGTTCTGCAGCTGTTAGTTTTCTAGAGAAGAATGCACAAGGATGAACTTTGCCTGGTTGACCGTGTCTCTGTGAGAGTACAGCTCCAATTCCGCAGTCAGAAGCATCCACTTCGACGATGAAGGGTATACTGGGGTCGGGGTGTTTCAGAATGGGGGCTGACGTGAATCTTTCCTTGAGGGTGACAAATGCTTGGGTTGCCTCTTGGTGCCACTTAAGTTTTGTGGGTTTACCCTTCAGAAGTGATGTTAGAGGTGCTGCCACGGTGCTGTAGTTGCGGATGAAACGTCTGTAGAAATTTGCGAAGCCTAGGAATCTTTGTAACTCCTTGATTGTTGTGGGTTGGGGCCATTCCGTGACTGCTAATACCTTGACTTCATCCATTTTAACGCCATGATGATTGATGTGATATCCTAAAAAGGTGGTTTGGTTGACATGGAATTCACATTTCTCTGCCTTGACGTAGAGATGATTCTTGAGTAATCTCGAGAGAACCACTTTCACATGGTTGATATGTTCTGTTTCAGACTTGGAGTAAATGAGAATGTCATCAATATATGCCACTACAAACTGATTCAGGAGATCCTTGAAAATTTCATTGATGAATGATTGGAAGATGGCAGGTGAGTTAGAAAGTCCATAAGGCATAACCTGGTATTCGTAGTGCCCCCTAGTGGTGTGGAACGCAGTTTTCCACTCGTCACCCTCCTTGATTCGGATTAAGTTATAGGCGCTTCTTAAGTCTAATTTTGTAAAAATGGTGGCTTCCCGCAGCTGTTCCAGGGCAGAAGGTACTAGAGGTAAGGGGTAACGAAACTTAACCGTTAAATTATTGAGTCTCCGGTAGTCAATGCATGGTCTTAACCCTCCATCCTTCTTCTCAACGAAGAAGAATCCAGCAGCGGCTGGAGAGACAGACGGACGGATAAAACCTGAGTCCAGAGCCTCTGTGATGTACTCCTCCATAGATTCACTTTCGGTCCGAGTAAGGGGATAAACTTTGCAGGTGGGTGGCATGGCGTGGGGAAGGAGATCGATAGCGCAGTCCCATGGTCGGTGTGGTGGTAACTGTGTAGCTTTGGTTTTGCTGAAAACTTCAGAGAGATGGTGATAAACAGCAGGGATGTTCACGGTTTTCTTGGTGTCAGGGCTCTCAATGCTGGTGGTGTGACAAGGCAGTGGCGTTGTGGGGATGCAGTTGCTTAGACAAAACGGGGACCAATGAGTTAACTCACCATGGTGCCAGGAGATATCTGGATCGTGGATAGATAGCCAGGGATGTCCTAGAACGACTTGGTGTTTGGGGGAGTCAACGACATACAGCGAGATAGATTCCAGATGAAGCAAGCCGACTTTGAGAGTGATAGTAGTGGTTTGATGAGTGATTCCCTCTCCAATGAGCGTGTCGTCAATGGACTTGATCTTGATGGGTGGTTTACATGGCTGAACGGGGATGTTGTACTTTGTGATGATGTCCTTATTGATAAGATTCAGAGCGGCTCCAGAGTCAATCAACGCTGTCAATTCAAAAGACATGGTGTCAAACTTCAGAGTGATAGGTAAGGTAAGTGATTTATTACTGAGTAGGGAGAGATGTTCGATATTTACCCTCGGAGTGGGGATGGTTTTGTGTGGACATCCGAGACTGCGATGACCTGCTTCACCGCAGTAAAAACACAACTGATGTTGCCGGCGTCTCTCTCTCTCTCCTTCCGAGAGCCGGGAGACGTTAAGTTGCATTGGCTCGTCATGCGGATCATGTCTTGTTGTGATGGGGGGTAGAAAACGGGGTGGCTCTCCCCTGCTTTTCTTGCGTGTTGGGGCTTGTCTCATGAGATTGTCGACTTTGATGGCGAGAGTGACAAATTCGGAAAAGGAGGTTTCTTCCCCCTTACAGGCTAGTTCAGTTTGTAACTCGGGATTGAGGCTGCGTTGAAACATGGCTTTTAACGCAACATCATTCCAGCCACTCTGTGCAGCTAGTGTCCTGAACTCAATAGCGTAGTCAGCCGCAGTGCGGTTACCTTGTGTGATGTGGATTATTTGCGTGGATATATCCTTACCTCCAGCAGGGTATTCGAACACTTCACGGAGTTGTTGAATGAAATAGTCCACTGAACCTCGGAATCGTGAATCAGAGTCCCAAACAGCGGCAGCCCAGTCGATCGCTTTACCTGTCAACAGTGTCATTAAAAACGCACATCTCTTCCTTTCAGTTTCAAGCTTTTCCCCTTGGTGTTCAAAGTAAAGCTGGACTTGACGAACAAAGCCCTTACATTGTTCGGCAGAACCATCAAACTTCTCAGGAAGTGCAAAATTTACCGTCTTTGGTGTGGATGGTGGAAGAGAGTGGATGTAATGAGTCAGATGTTCATTGGCTGACTGGAGTTTAGCGAGTTGTTCTTGGTAGCCCTTTAACATCTCGCTCTGATAAGCAAATGCTGCTTGCAAATTAGTAACTTCCGCTGGACTCAAAGGAGGCGAAGTATTCTGTAATGAAGATGCAGAGGCAGAGTGAGAATCCATTTGCGGGAGTTTATTTGTGAGATTCACCCTTAGCAGTTGAGAGAAGGCAGGCAGTGGATATGAACAAACGTGACTGTCAGAAAGTTTCACATCCAATAGGGAGATCCAAAAGGCATAAGTCAGGAAGCAGGCAAGGGGTCCAAGCAGTAACATCAGTCCAAACAGGCAACCAATACAAAGGGGTAATCCAGGAATCGTAAGGCAGAGAATCAGGCAGAATCATACACAGGCAGACAGGCAGTAGAGAGTAGACAATAACGCTTGGTAAGGCAGTGTAAACTGGCAATACTTCGCGACGAGTGAAAGCATGGTCTCTGAATAAATAGGCAGGCAAACAGGAAATGAGTGTAGAAGAAGAGGGCGTGGATCACAGTCAGTATTCCGGTGAGAGCTCCCTCTGCTGGTTAGGCCTTACAATAATAATAATTATAAGAAATGTTTCATGAGCAGCAAATCACCATATTATAATGATTTCTGAAGGATCATGTGACACTGAAGACTGGAGTAATGATGCTGAAAATTCAGATTTGATCACAGGAATAAATTACATTTAAAATATATCTACATAGAAAATAGTCATTTTAAGTTGTAATAATAATATTTCACAGTATAACTGTTTTTACTGTAATTTTGATTAAATAAATGCAGCCTTGGTGAGAATAAGAGACTTCAGTAACACTTTACAAAAAGGTTCCTTTTGTTAACATTAGTTAAGTAATTTACAACCCATGATTTGCGACTTGTTATTCCTAGTCTGAAGTATGTGGTATTTATGATCATGTGGGTGGGACGTTGTTAGTCTAGAGAGCATTTTATTGGACAAAAGTTGGCATACGGCCCTCCCTGTGCATCCATGATGTCATCACGGTTTTTATTGATTGACAGTGCTCCAGAAGTTGTGGTGGAGGGGTTCAGAAGAGAGCGGTGAGGTGCGTGAACCAGGAATCCGGCGAGGAAGAAAAGACGTCACTGTGTGCGAATAACAATAAACCTGACAGTGTGAAGAACTGCAACCCAGAGGAGTGTAAAACTGATTTAGGTAAACTCAGTTATGTAATATCCCGTCCTGTTTATTTCATCATTTATGATTAACATAAAGTGGCCCCTAAATGTACTTGGACACTGAATGTGACACTGCCTGAATGTCACAAAAAATATCAAACAAATACTGCAAGATATTCTCTTCACTCTTATTTTCTCTTCATCATTTTTGCTCAGTGTCTTTTAATCAGCTGGTGTTTTGTTGATTTTTTAGTGGATGTATGAAGTCAGTTTTTCTCAAACAAGTTCCCAAACAGAGGAACCACAGGTTTAGTTAATTACATTAACTATATCAGCATGATCCACTAACACTGGCCACGTATACACTGCAGTTAAATGCTTTCTATTGAAAACAAGACCTAAATATTGCGACCTGCATCTGCCTACTTTATTAACTCCATAAACTGGATCGCTTTATGAGCCAAGCGTTAACAAGTCTCAAAACGTGTATAATAAGTGTACATGGCAACACTTCAAGCCTTACAAACATAAACAAAACATGATGCCTCCGTAGACTGTGGTTTATTTAAAATTACAGAACACTTTGTTATTAAAGTCTGTGATATTACTTTTCAGTCAAAAAAATAGCTGATACCAAACACAAAAGACTCCAGAACATTGCTATGGTTACTATCTATCATCTGTCATTTTGGAAGTGAGTCGTGTTCCGTACACACACACACACACACACGGATATTCACTCCTCTATTCACTCTCATGTTTGGTTAGATTAAAATGAACCAATTGCTCTGTTAGTGCAGTTCATTTAAATAAGTGTGAGCGCTGTCATCTGAACACTGGTGTACCAAACAAGCGGACCGAGACGCTGAAAAGATGGGTCTCGCTCCGCTTCCAAACCAACTCTGATGCGGATTGAATACAATATGAACGCAACACGGACCAAAGACATATAAACAAACCAAAAATGGAGCATGATGTCACAAGATGCAACCCTAAAAAGGAGAGAATGCTCAAGCATACCTGTTTTTTCTCATCATAGTCGCGATGTTGTCCATCACAGTTCGGTACAGGCATCAGAACCGCGTCTCCTCGCAGCAGATCTTCATGTGTGTGTGTGACGGAGGGATTCCTGCCGCTGTTTTGACTCCTTTACACATTTATAAGCTCTTCACGAGTTCTCAGCTGGTCAAAATACCATCATGTAGCTACACACATACAACAAGCATGTATCCCAGCAGCATTGTTTTGGATGTTCGGTAAATTCCATGTCATAAAAGCCGACCAACCAGCTTGTGAACATATCCCTGTGCCTTTAGGTTTAATGTGAACGCTAAGCGAACCAGGACTAAATGTTTTAGGGGTTTTTTCCGGTCCGTACCAAACGAACCAAGGGTAGCGAACTACAAGTGTGAACACCCTAAATGCATTTGTCACTCCAGAAAGTTTACAGTGTTGTCAACATGTTATTTTAGTGAAAAATGCTTTGCTTCAAAAGTGTGCCTTCTTTCTGTAAAATAAGTTATTTGGTTTAATGTTTTGCTATCTAATGCAATGGAATTCTATTTATACATTTGTATATATGGCTTACGTGTGCCATTGTACTGTATGAAATCTTTTTTTGTGTAAGAGACCAAAAATTGATCTCTTTACCCAAGACATTGTGGAAAACAGTGTGCCACCATGGATCACTTATTTTAATGTGCTGCTCCATGTCTTTATAGATTAGTTTTATATTAAAGCCCCTTTAAATATTTTTGTTGTTTTTCTTCTCTTCTTTGCAGGTCTGGTTTGCAAGAAAAACAGCATGTCGACACGTTTCTGTGAGAAGCTCAAGCTGCTGGGTCGCTGCTCCCTGCGCTCCATCCGCAAGCAGTGTTGTGTCACTTGTATGATGTAACACTTGCAGAGGTCAGGCTTGGGTCATCTCATCAAACTACTGGACTTGCTGAAGGCAGGGTTCACGGTGCTCTAGAAATGCAGACGTCCCTCTCAAATATATGAAAATATGAGGTTTTTACTTGAACAAAGGATCCTGGGCATGTTTCCCTCCATTTTTTTTTTTCAAAGTGCGTCATGAAATGCATCCGGACACATCAAGCTGTAGTTACAGGATTCATCATCAGTTAGACAGGTAACCTATATATTGTTTTTTGCACTCATTTTTGAAAATTATGTCATTCTTTTAAACCCAAAAAGGTGTGTTTTGACAGGTTTACCAGTCAAGAACTGGTTGAACACATACAGTAGCAAGACGACACCTGTTTTTACAGAGCCATTATTTAAAAATCATGGATCAGTTGAAACTGCCATGAAGGGAGCAAACCTTTTGGACGTACAGACTAATATTCAGGTTATTCATTAAAAACAGTAGTTTTTATCTGATGTGTCATGTGACCACTGTCTGATGAACATTAACGTTTTCACAGTATAAGGGGAACGTGTTTTTCCATTCCACTGCGGTGCTTTTCCATTGTTTTTCTATGTGAACACGAGCTAAAAGGACGAGTTTAACCTTTGCGTTCGCATCTCACTCATGACACGCCATTGTAAAAATGCACCCCTCAAGTTAAAAGTAGTTCAACTTTTAAAATACTTGATTTTTAAAGCATTTAACCGCAAAAACGTGTTTTGTGTGAACCAGCAGTTCTTAAATGAGTGTAGTTTTATGAACTTATTTTGCACAAACCTAATGTTAATATAGGGTTTCCGCAGGTTTAATAAATGTGAATTTAAGACTTTTTAAAAACACATTTTTAAGACTAAAGTAAAGAAAATTTAAGGAATAAATTGAAAGGAACACAATACGCCAATATGTTTTCTACTGGAGAAACACACTGAGTTCTATTTGCAACGGTTCAGAGTTTGAAAATACAACTTCCAACAGATATCAGACATAACTTTTTAATTCATTTTTACAAAAAAGTAGCTTGAAAACCTGTGCTCTCAACCATCTAGAATATGGAAATATCTTTGACTCACACTGCAAAAAAAAAATTCTTCTTCATATTTTTGTCTTTTTCCAGTGCAAATTAAGATGCATTTACTGGAGATGCAAAATGACAAAATAAGATTTAAGACCTTCATTTGTGTAAGCGCAAATTAAGCCTCTTCAAGACCTTTATAAGATCCTCAGAAACCCTGTAATACAATAATTATTGAATGTGTGAATCAGTTTATGCAGAATTTTTAACAGATTAACCCAAAATGTTGGGGTTTGTTTTTTGTTTTGTACATTTGCAAAAATGGCTTCACCAAGCAAATAACATCACTAACATCATAAACTGAGAATTTTAACACTTTTTTTTCCTCTGCTACTTTTGTTGATTATTCGTTTTCATTCGGTGAATACTATTAGAAAAGCTTTTCATTTAAGCTGTTTATTTTACCTGCTATAAACAAAAGATTCATAATTCTAAATGCACCAAAAAACACAAAAAGTCAATGACTGTAAAGTAACAAAAATGCAAAAAAGCAAGTAACATGCTGTTTTAAAAGAAGAGAAATGGTACTTTAAGCAGTATGTATTTGTAACTTCATTCTCCAACCCTTAATACTGGATGTTTTTAAAATAGTTCTTGTCATCCAGTGAATCATCTTTAGTATTGTGATGAAATGCAAGTAAAATATTTCAGGTACAGTTCCAAAGGAGCCAGCAGCATCATATTTTTGGGTTTATAAAAGATTTTGGTCTAGTTTAGTTTCCATACAACTATTTTTATTTTAATTTTTTTTTAAACACAACCGTAACTAGATTTTTTATAAGTTGTTACACAGAATATAAGATAGATTTGGGTTATCTGCACTGTATTTGTGGTAGGGTTTTCTAGTTCATGTATTTTATTTACAGTCATATGAAAATATGGATCAAACTTATTGTATTCGTGTGGCTCATGGGAGCCTCGTGGTGCTGTAAACTGTTGGTGCTCGGTGCTTGTGAAGATTCAAGCGTTTAAGACATTGTTAACAAGTTAAATGCACATTACACTGAGGATGGAGGTGTTGCAGGTCAATCCTCTTTGGCCTTTAAAACAGGCCTGAACGTTTTATACTGCTCATCTGTACTGCTGATATATGATCATCAATAAATGCAGTCAGGATGCGTGCAAGATCTTTCGCCTGTTGTTTGATGATTTGCCTGATTGCTTTCAGATCATTCTGAGATCCAAGCTCTGTTCCCAAACCTAGCGAGCTGCCCTTAAAGATCTGTTTAATACCCTTAATATTTCCATTCATTTCAATGGCATTTGCTTGACCCTCTGGCAGTTCTGTAAAAAGTACTGTAGGCAACAACATTTTTAAAGTCTACATCCTTGGATCCATTGTGACCAGCTCAGTTAAAAAAAAAAATCCAAGATGACAAATTGAAAGATAAATGTTGATTGCAAATACACTGAACAAAATTATAAACGCAACACTTTTTTCATGAGCTGAACTCAAAGATCAGACTTTTTCTATTTACACAAAAGGCCTATTTCTCTCAAATATAGTTAAAAAATCTGTCAAATCGGTCCCCCCAATACAGTAAAACTGCACATTTTAGAGTGGCCTTTTACTGTGGCCAGCCTAAGGCACACCTGTGCAATAATCCTGCTGTCTAATCAGCATCTTGATATGCCACACCTGTGAGGTGGATGGATTATCTCAGCAAAGGAGAAGTGCTCACTAACACAGATTTAGACAGATTTGTGAACAATATTTAAGAGAAATAGGCCTTTTGTGTAGATCTTTGAGTTCAGCTCATGAAAAATGGGGGCAAAAACAAAAGTGTTGCGTTTATAATTTTGTTCAGTGTATATTTAAAAGTACACTATGTAACTTTTGGCCCTCTAGCGGTTAAAAACAAAACTGCATGCATTTTGCAGAAGAACATTGTTTTGGTTGTGCTTCAGCTCTGACTGTGAGGATGAATATGATTATCATAATTCTCATAAAACATTCACTACTAGACTTAAGAGATATAACCAGTTTAGATAGAAAGGATCTCAAGCTGACTATCTGAAGACGTTACTGTATCTTTACCTATTAATAGACACGGTACTTCCTTGAAAATAAATTCCAGCACAGCTACAACAACCATAATGAAATGAGCCTTCACATTAGATAATGCTTTACAGTGAACTCTGTTAGAGAGATACATGTGGCCATTTATCTGTTCAACAAAACACTTTACTCACCTTTTGAGTGATAAAAACACCATCTTTGCATCGCTTTTACATTTCAAATCCCTCAGTTCTCGCCATCTCCGAAAAGCCAAGCCAATGTTGATTCTTGTTTTATTACGAGCTCTGTCGCGCTCTCTTTTCCCCAGCAGACTCTCCTCTGTTCGGCGTTTGTTTAAAACGGGAGATTCACCTGAGCTTGGAGATTTAGCGGCTCCATGTAAAAAACTTTCTCGCTCGTTCTGACAACTAACCTCTGCCACTCTCACACCAGACACACGTCAAAGTAGCCGGAGCAACTTTACTCTGTTTACGGATATGACGAGACACTGACAAGGAGTGAGACGTAACAAAAGAGTAACAAAAACACGTTTCGGAAGAAGGATTGATGATGTACTGACTTATAAATTTAGTTAATTTTGAACAAGTTAGTGTACCTTTATTATTCAGTGTTGAAAATATTTTCTAAAAATGTTAATTTCTAAATAATTCATTATAATTATTAATTAAAGGTGCAAAACGCAAGTCTCTGAGTTTTTGCAGAACTACCTTTGGACTAAAATTTGGACCTTTTGGTGGCACTAGACAAAAATTTTCTTTTCTTTGCTTTACGTGGAGTTTGCGTTGGGGTTTGGAATGGACTACGAGCCGGTCTCTTTGAATCCATCTTCTACCTTTGACGCACGAGTTGTCTTCGCTGATGCGGAGAATGGCGTCGCCGGCGAATACACAAACCTGCGAGACATAGCCTGGTGAGCGTGAACGCGCATGACGTCACGCCCAGTCTCAAATTCGAGCCCGAATCCCTCTTATATATTTTACTGTACAGGATTATAGAGCCAATCTCAGTGCGCAGAGAAGGGCTCATTCAGCCCATCAGGCAGTTCTTTAAGCATGTATAGGATAGAAAAACAGGTATTTTTAACATGAAAAGTTGCGCAATGCACCTTTAAATAAAAGGGCTATTATGGATATTATATTATAAAAATGTTATTTCAAATAAATGGTGTTATTTTGAACTTTCTATTCATCATTATAAGATTTTTTTTTTAATTAAAGGAATGATTTCTGAAGGATCATGATTCATGTGACACTGACGACTGGAGTAATGATGCTGAAAATACAGCTTTGATCACAGGGATACATTACATTTTATGTAATGTAAGTGTATTCAAATAGAACACTGTAATTTTAAATTGTAATGATATTTCACAATATTATTGCTTTTGCTGCATTTTTAATTAAATAAATTCAGATTGGGATACCTTTTACCCGTGTGCTGAGATCAGGATAATCCCATTTCGTTTTGTTTTTTGGATCAAAGGTATCCCAATCTTACTAAAAGGCTTTGAAGAACTCACTGATGGTTTGATCCAGAAAAAAAAAACACGATTGTTTTTTGTACGGTAATTCAGAATCTTTTTTCTAATTCTTTTGAACGACCCATTTTCAAGATTTGATCCAATCCAATTACTTTTGAACAACAGGTCCATGGCCTAAATACAAATTTGGTGTGTCTTCAGACCTTCGGTCCCGATGTAAGTATTGGTAACTCTTAACGTCCAGAGGTTTAGACAGGACCTGCAGAAATATTGTGGCATTAAGAAACTTGGTACACTATAAATGTAGCCTGCCACTCACCCACTGTTTGTTCTTTACCAACACTTTTTCAGGTCACCGTAAAATGGGAAGAGGCGACTCTGCAATCCAAACCATGCCGAATCAGGCTCCATTACAGAGGTCGGGTTAAATTAGGCCAGATTTGGCAGGTTCTTCTATCCCTTATAACTTGAAACCCACTTGGCACCACAGCACTGTCAGCTAGGTCACGATCACATTTGTCAGCACTGTCACACCATGTTAGTGCCCTAGATTTCATGCACTTCATAGTGAGCTTCATAGCTCAGTTATATAATTACCGTAATGTGCTTCCAGCAAAAGAGGTCCAAATACAGACTCTTGAATGGCAGCGTGGGACTTCCCTTTCCTGTGTACCGCTAAATAATTCAG